CGGCTCCGTGGGAACCACCAGGACCCCCAAGAAAAAGAAGAAGGACGACGACGGTTGGTCCTCGGATGAGGGAGCTGCCAAGAAAGCGAGCACGGCAGCAAGGAGACGCAGCAGCAGAGGTACATCCCGGAGAGTCAGTTACGCAGACCGGGACAGCGATGAAGATGATATGGAAATGGACGAGTGGGAGGAAGAGCAAGCCGATGAACAAGAGGAAGCAGAAGAGGAGGGCGGTGCCGACAGCGAGGAGGACAACGACAGCGTCGACCTTCCAGACAAAGAAGCAGCCCTGGACGAGATCCTAAGCGACAGGGAAGACTCGCCTCTCTCATCCCCGCCGCCCACATCCCCGCAGAAACCCACAGAGCAAGCACCTTCAAAACCGAGTGGCAATGGCAAACGAACCTCGACTCTACCAAACCGGCGATCCTCTCGAAGAGGATAAGAGGATCTGGATACCCTCTCTCCCCTGAGTGTTTAGCTAGCATGTATGTATCAAAAACCAGCGCGAAGTGAACATGTGATATTTGCAGCGTCAGTTCGAAATGATTTATATTGTATCTTTCATTGACTTGTCGGAGTGGTGTCATCTGTATCTTTCTTCCTACTTATGAATCTTTTGAATTCGTCCCCAACCTACCACATCGTTAAGCAGTCAATCCATCCCTCTTTCATACCATCGATGCAATCTGAACTGGAACTGGAACTGAATATGAACTCAATCGAATTGTGTATACCCATCGCCATCATCTATCTATCTTCTTTCAAATCGCAGTTTATCTCATTTCTCTTGTCAAGTCCATCCCTCCCGCAAGCATTTAGGATATGTGTGCATGTATGTATGTATGTACTCCACATGTATGTTGTCTATCTATCTATCTATCTATCTATCCATCTATCTATCTGGACTATCTGTCTGTCCGTGTTTCTTCATCGTCTTCTTCTTCTTCCTCTCCTTTCTTCTTTCCCTAATTACCTGCATAAAACTAATCCTACCATTCTCATCACTCTTCTCACTCGACCCAAGGACGATAACCAAACCAATAAAGAGTATATATGTAAATATCAAGTAGCAAGTCACGTCACATCAACTAGGCGATGGCGATTTTGGAATGTGAAGTGGCCTTATTACTAACTACTAACTACCACTACTATTAAGCTGCAATTACTTAGTAAACTGGTGGTCCCTGCAGTGAGGGATGTAAGTAACTAAGCTGGTGGGGCGGTGTGCATCGAAGTAGATGCTGTATTATCATATGAAATATTTTCACAAATCTATAGTTGGTATTCAAATCTACTAGAGAACTTAAATACGGTATGTGATATGTCACCGGATATGTATTCAAGGGCCATGGAATTGCCAGGTTTCGATGATTCTTTTGCAACGCTGCCCAAGAAGCACAACAATAATGAAGAGGTCCGTTATTTACGCCGACCATGAGGTAGGTAGGTAGGTAGGTATGGTGAAATGACATGGTGTAGAGGAAGGAAGTAGTAGTAGAGGAGAAAGAGATAAGGGGGAGTAATCCATCTTCCAAGGAGATTCTGATAGTAGAGACATCCAACGAGATGGAAATATGGAATCAAGGGATAGGATAGGATAGAATAGATGGATGGAAAAACCAAGAACAATCGCTCAGTCATGTACATACACAGACATCAATGATTTGAAGTAGACAGTCAAGAGGATGATGCCAAAGGCGGGAACAATGAGGAGTCAATGAAGGAAGGGAAAGAAGAGTGTAAAGTATACATTGATGCGGGTTAATGAGTGAAAAACAGACACCCCCTGCTCCATCATTCAATCATTAATTACTATGATGCGTTGCCCCCGGTTGCGGCTACGGCTGCTGTTTTCGCAACTCGTTCTTCCACCCGCTCTTTGTGTTGGCGGTTCCGGAGATGTACTTCAAAATTGTCGACTGTCGTGCCGGGTCCTGGAGTGTACAGCTTACCCGGACAGTCGTGGCAGCGAATGCGAGGGAGGTATTGGTATTTCAGCTTGTGGCCCGGCTGACTGTTGGAGTTTGCTACCGGCAGCATGGTTTCCGTGTCAACAGCGGTGTAGCGCATGACCCCTTCGAAAGAGTCGTTGGGATAGGAGAGTTTTAAGCGTGCGAGTCCCGCTGCAAGCCAACTTGGCGGCGGGGGCTAAATAAAATCATGTTAGTATGTGGCTGTCTGCGGCACTTCTTCGGTAGCCAGACATTGCGGCCCGTGTGGAGGTGACGAGATGGAAGTAATAGGTCGTTAGTTACTCACCCCGGGGACTCCTGGCTGAGGGGGATGAGGAGCATCTACGGCTCCGATCTGTTGGGCGGGGACTGGTCGTTGTCCGGGAGGAACGCTGGGTACACGGACTTCAGGTTGGGGAGCGGCGGGCGGAGCCATGGGGTTCGGGGTGGGAGTCTGAACTTGGGGTGTGCTCTGCTGCGAGGCTGGTTGTGCTGCCGGGGTCGCAAGGCCTTGTATTGACTGCAGGCCATGTGTGAGGAATTGCCGGAATTTCTCCTTGGAGATCTTGAGCTTGACGAGCAGCTTATCCGGCTCTTCTACAACGCTCTCCTCGCGAATCTCGCGCCTGCGACTTGCGGCTCTCGCCTCGTTGTGTGGCTCGGGCGTGGCGGACTGGCCCAGGCTCGCTCGCAGTGCCGCATGTGCCGCGCTGGCAGCTCCTCTCATGCCTCGTGTACGTGCCGTTCCTTGAGCTAGGTGAGGCCCGATAGCAGGAGAGCCGGTGATTGACGATTCGTCACTGTCGGACTCCTCGGACTCCTCTCCGGTATCCCGCAAGCCGACGGCAGCGCGCCTAGAACGGCTCGAGCCCGACCGCTTGTACACGTTGCTATCCTCCAGGGACACTGCGCAGTTGGGTATGACTGTCGAGACGAGCATGGTCCGGATAGTGCGTTGACGATCCTTGAGGTCGGGCAGTGCGGGTCCACCACGCCGGTTGACAGACCGCTTCTGTCGGCGTTGATCTCGCGATATCGACACCTCAGTCCGCTCGAGCTCCGTTTCGTTCAGTTCGTATAGGTAGGGAGTGAATTCCTTTGCTGCCTGGAAAGGTCGGAAGGAAGAGGTCAGAGGGGTAGGAAGGAATGCGGTCTTCAGGTCAGGATCGTCGATCGGACGGCCATCGAAGGGGTGGGAGAGGATGTAGAGGGATTTGGTGAAAAGTTGTGATTGTTCGCGGATTGAGTGTGCGATCGCGGTCGTGAACTCGCCGGAGAGAGACAGGTCGTCGGTCATACGCTCCGCAAACTCCTCGGGGGAGTTGTGAGGATCATTGATGTCCCACTCAAACTGGTCAATCAGTGTATGTTGGCCAATCGTAATGTTCAATTTTACTAGAATGCGCATCTCATCATTCTTGTAGGCGCTGTAGGGGAGGTGAGGATCCAATGGCTCTTCTTCCATGAAGATCTGAGGATAATAATCGCAAAGCTGCTCCTGGATACTTGAAGAGATCATTCGTATCAGCGGCGCACACGACTCGATAGGGATCTGTAGATCCTCTACGAGCTTCTCTGCGAACAAGTCGGGAGAAATCACGCGATCATGAAGATTCCACGTGAAAGTATCACGGATCTTGATCTTTTCCCAGTCGATATCCAAGCGGATTGGCACTAAATCTTCGGTTTGTTCATTCTGCGTCTTCAGATCCTTGCGGGAGATTCGGAGTTCCCTCGTCCGCCGGTTCCCGGGACGACGTCGATTCGCAGGATATAATAGCTGGGGATGTTGATTCCGCAAATCGGTGCGCTGATTGCCGAAGCCTTCGTAGCCAACACCATAAAGAGCTGCTGGGTTCATGTGGTTCTCGCGTCGTACGGCCAAGAAGTAATCGCGCTCAGCGCGTTTCTGATGTAGAAGCTCCTGGCTGGGATTTTGCCATGCTGTCAAGGCGGAGTGGTGGAACTCCCGGTTGACATAGTCTTCAAGAAGAATCTTGTCGGCGGGAGTCTCACGTACACGTACGGGGAGGCCTTCTGTCGATTGGGAGGAGTTGATAACAGAGCCATCCCGGGATCGTTTCTTGCTCGACGCGGATCCATTGGCACTGTTTGCCTGAGACGAAGGTGATGGATTGCCATTCGACGCGTCATGGGCAGATTCGGTAGAGCCTAGAGACACCCCTGATGCGGCGAGAACAGCCTTTGCGTTCTGCTTTCCCTCTGCAATCGCATCAGATCCGCCCGAACCTTGTCCGGAAGAAGTCTCGGACGCGACGGCGCCATAATCCCCGCTTATGTTAGACATCCCTGAACCAATCTGTCCTTCGTCTGTCGGGGCGTCAATTGAGAACTGTCCAGGCTGAGAGAGGTCAGGTGAAAGCATGCTGGGGATAGGAAGATTGAAGTGTTCCGCGGTCGTCCTTGGCGTGTCGGGCGAGGCAAAACAGACGTCACTTGCACGGATAGGTGGAGAGATGAGGAGGCACTAATTGAGCGGCGAGGATGGATAACTGAAAATGGACGACACTCAGTCACGGCAGCATCCTTGAAGAAGGACTGTAGGATCGGACGCATCCAAGTCAGCTAGTTGTATGAGAGAGTCCCATGTGTAGAAAAGTCAATGGTAGTGGCGACGCGACGGCGCACCGGGCGGAGGCGCGATACGTCGTCGGATGTGCGCAACGGACAAGCATGTCGCAAAGCTACTCCCAGGTGAGTCGCATCAACCAAGTCCTGACTAGAGATCGCTCCAACCGCAAGAGCCGCACGGCCGCGCGGAGTATCAACAGCGAAGAAGGCAATGGATGACTGGACAAGCTGGGGAGGGAGGAAGCAAGAAGACATACCAACCAACCGGCAGAAGGGAAGGAAGGGAATGCAGGACGAATTGGGGACGCGACCGAGCAAGAATAAAGGAAACACGATTAGAACAACAACAAAAAAGAATGATACTAACCAAGAAGGAAGGGGACAATAATATCCGTAATCCGAGCAGAGCGACTCGGGATGGCTGGTACCAGGGCAAGACTCAGGCAGATGTGGATGGGTCTGCGTGCCGGTCTGGGTCTTTCTTTTTGCCTTTCACAAGTGAGGAAACGGACGAGAACCGGGCTAATCAGCTGACGTTTGCTCCCGGGGGGATCTGGCCGGTATTCGATCACTCTTCCAGCTCCAGCTCCCGATTCTTCTTAATTTCTGGTCCCGAGCTCCCCTGATTCGATCTCCAGATAAGATGCTAGACGCGATCCAATCGTTGGATCGCACAAGAACGTGGGGTGGTTTGGGTGGTTTTGCCCCCGACTTCTTAGTAGTGGCTTTTTTGGCGGGTTTTTCCTTTGCGGCGGGAGGGAAAAAAGAGGAGAGAAGAGGAGGAAGAAGGGGAAACGGGCGCGAGAAAAGGTCGACTGAGAGTAAGTAGGTAGTAACCAGGTCGCTCTTCTGCGCTGCCCGGCCCGTTACAAGTCTGGTCTGCTCGGGTTCCGTGTGTGAGGGCAGAATGGCTAGGGGAAGGGGGCAGCTGGGCTGGTGCCAGCAGCACCAGCAGAGTCTCCTGCGATCAGCAACCGGTTCGCAGGGTCTTTAGGGACTCTCATGAAGCCATTCCAGATCCATTCTCCTGCTGCTTTGCCTTCTGGTCTGATCGTAACCTTCCTTACGCTGGATACTGTATGCCTGCGGTAATACCGTTCGCTGTCTCGTATGGTAAGCAGCGCGTGTCCGCTCGCTATCCCGCATTGGGACGTCAGGTGACACCACACCATTCCCGAGTAGGTAAAATGAGGGACGCTAGGGCGTCATTGCCGGCCCTTGGCGTCACCGAGCCGTTTTGATGGTGGATTGACCGGGTCTTCGGATCGGTACGGATGTGTATCAATTCTTTCCTTCCCACTTCTGGCTGATCTTCCGCGAAAATAAAGTCCATCTTAAGTATTCGCGTCTTTCTATCCCTACTGAAGTATAAAAAGCATTCGGGGATTCTGGGGAACAAGAAAGCCAGCTGATGGGGCCTTCGCACTAGTGACTAGTCGTATAACATCACATCGATGACCACCGCCCGATGGTCCGAGTTAAAGACCCCATCGTCGAATCGGTTCGCTAATACTGCATAGCCCTCCACTGCCCATGGCTGACGACCATGGCTAAGAACCTTGTCTGCCGTTGACTCGAGCAGTACGTAGTCAATGCGCGTCGGATCCTGTCCTTCATGTCCAAACCCCGTCCAGGTTTTGTGGTTTCCGTAATGCTCCCGAGGATTTACCAACTTCGCTGCGTCTGCCAAAGGTGACTCCGGCGCCGTCAAGACGGTATACGCCTCTTGGTCTTCCTGACTATTGAAGTCCCCTGTCAGGAACATCCCCGAGATCATGGGGCCAAAGGCTTTCCCAGTCCGATACTCCTGCAACTTATGCAGAATAATATGGGCTGCTTCTAGTCGGGACCGAGACCCTTGATCGTCCAGGTGGGTATTCATCGCCAAGATCGTCTTGCGACTGGCACGGTGGGTAAAGACACCGATGGTCACGATGCGGATCGAGGCAGCATCCCAGCTCTTGGACGGAGTGTCGGGCGTCTCAGATAACCAGACAGTCTCGCAGTGTCGTAGTTGCCAGATGGAAGGTTGGAAGAGGATAGGCGAATATTCGCCTGCTTTGCAGCCGTCATCTCGTCCCACGCCGATATAGTCCCACGCATTGTTCTGCTTGGAAGCATTGAGTCCAGTGAGGATGTCGACCAGCTGGTTGTGTAGGACTTCCTGTAGACAAATAAAGCCTTCCGCATGGCGTGTGTTGTACTGCAGCTCGTTCAAGAGAAGCTGTACTCTGTCTGCCCAGGGGCGCTCGCCTTTGAAAGGTGAGGAGGTAGCATATCGGATGTTGTGTGTAAGGATGCGAAGGGGGAGCTCTGTCGCGACCCTCATGGTGGTTTAAAGGGCAAGAATTACAGTAGACAAGACTAATAATCAGGAAATGATACTCACTAGCGATGGAAATAATAGAAGAATTGAACCGAAGTTGGGTTAAGTACTGAAAAAGGTGAGGGGGTGAGGTCGCCTCCGATGATTGATCTTGTGATTGGACCAGACCTGCATGAGACTCTCATGTAACATCAATTGAAACCAGTAGGTACGACTACTTAGGGAACACAAGGCTAATTATATGAGTCACTGTTGTGTATCTGTCATTTTAACAGAAAATAGCTTGAGAAGGATTCCGTCTGTCGGGGCATTCTTCGCTGCGGCTTCCTATCCATAATTGAAGGACATGTCGTCTGCTACAAGGCCACCTCCGCCATTACTTCTCTTGGGCGGGAGAGGCCGACTATGCCGACACACCAGACACTGATAATGGTTCAAATCTGTATCAAGTTTTTTTTTCGCACTATTTGTAATGAGTAGTCATGTAGAGAAGTAGTATTCTAACGTTTGTGAAAGTTGTACACCGTTGTGAAGAGTTACGAAAATTTATTGATATATATATTGCTGCTAGTAAGGACTCGAGATTGATAGTATATCATTACAATAGAATATGACTCTGGCTACTACTGTAATAGCACGCGTCTGCTATGTATCAAAAACAGTTATTAGACACTACAAACACCTGAGATAATATCCGCAGCTTGTTCAGCCAACGCATACACACACGCTTGTATATGTGTGCTCAATGGAGTCGGAATTACGCTCGCATCGACAACTCGCAAACCTTCGATTCCTTTGACGCGTAAATCGCTATCAACCACTTTGCCCATGCAAGCACCGCCCGTAGGATGGTACAGTGTCCTGTGCTCATTAGCATTATTCTCTCCCACATAATGATATGTAGTATGGCAGAGCAAATTTGGTCTTACGCTGCTCGACGACGGATGAGATCATCGATAGCTTCATCATCCGTATCAGGACCTAAGGGTAGATATTTCTCTTCGACTGTTTCTGAAACAATCATTTCCTGTCCCGCTGGAGTATCGCATAAGACTTCTCGCAATCTCCGAAGTCCCTCACGCAGGACATATCGATCAGCCTCGGTAGCACAGTAATTAGGATCAATGCGAGGTGCGCTTCGGACGTCTCGATCTGCTAACTTGATGCTTCCCCGAGAAGTTGGAAGCATACAGGACACGCCTGTCGTAATATGTGTACCGTCTACTGCGATGCTAGGGTCCTGAGCGTTGTGCGCCACATAGACGGTAAAGGTTTCCACATGCACGCGCTGGGAGGTAATAAGCGGATGCTCATCTGGGTTGCAATTGGGGTCGTCCTTGGCCAGTGCTTGCCGAAGAGCATCGAGAGGCACTGAATCTAAGGCCACAAAGTCAATGGGATTTCCTCGGAAGAAGGCTGGGTCAGTGAATGCGGGTGATCCAATTGCTAGCCCATTCTCTGGGTGCTTCAACTGCCACCATTGCGAGACTGCTACATGGTCCGCAAAGTGACGGCCCACATCCGGAAGATCAAGGACAACATTGATCCCATGTGCTCGTAATTCTTCCGCTGAACCAATACCTGACAGCATCATGAGCTGAGGGGTACGATATGCACCCGCAGCAATGATAACCTCTTGACGTGCCATGATCTGGCTTTCGTCCTTATCCTCCAATACTACACCTATTGCAACCTTTTGACTCCCACGTTCCTCCACTAGCACTCGCTTGACCAGAGTTTCAGTCATGATATCCACATCTAGCAGATAAATGGAGCTCGACATTTGTCGCATTCCGTTTTCGCGATTCTCAACAACTTCAGCCAGCCCATAAGGACTGCCGGAATTGATGTCGGGGTTCTATGTTACACCGACGGAATTCCAGGCCTCTTGCACCAGTTGACGAAGAGGGTACCTGCGGCCTGTAGACAAAACGGACTCAGTTCTGATAGGGCCATCAAAGCCATGAACTTCGGGGTCGGCCGAAGGATCAAAGTGATGCTCAAGCTTCCGGAAATAAGGCAGGAGACCTTGGTAGCTCCATCGAGAGTCACCGACTAAGCTGGCCCAGAGGTCATAGTCTTCTTTTGCACCTCGCATCCATCCGCCTAATTGCACCACATAAAAGTCATCAGCTCTGGACTGTATAACAAAATAAAACCACCGTCGCCACCTCAATATTCAGGATTCCGATCTATGATTGCTAAAGCTCACCACTGTTGATTGTGGTACTACCACCCAGAGCCTTCCCCGCGTGATTTGAGAGTACACGATCAGAAAGATGTTTCTGCGGCACCGTCTCGTATGTCCAATCAAGCTCTGATTTAAGTAACTGAGTGGCTTTACTTCCGTCTGGTACGAGGGGGTGGTTGCTGGCATCAGGGCCAGCTTCGATAAGCAAGATCGACAGAGAGGAGTTGTATTGCTTCAGCCGTGAGGCTAGGACACAGCCAGCTGTACCACCACCGACAATAACGTAGTCAAATTGCTCACTTGTAGTCATATTGGTGTCCACAGGGGCTGGTTTAGATTAGGGGGCGTTAGCACGGTGGGGTATAACAAAAGGATATTATACCTGGGGTTCCGAGGGAGTATAGAAGTCGATCACAGAAACTTCTACAGCGATCAAAGGGGGCATTAACCCCGCTCGTCAGCCTACTCAAAATTTTCTGTCAAATGCACCAAGCAGAATAGCTGTTGATGGAATGGAGACTAAATCCAGCATATACCTTAGGGGTCTCCATAGGCATTTGGTGACGTCAATTAAGGCCGCCAGCTCCATCTTGACCCGATTTAATAGTCTGACCGGTGAGAAGATGAGCCTGCCCGAGCGCACCCCTGCCAAATTTCGCCCGTATTTACCCTGTACGTTGTAGGTACAAGATGCGCCGAAGGATGGCAAAACACGAGGTAGTGCATGACAAGGCTGCGAAAAGAAGAAAAAAGACCCCCAATCCCACCACGGGAACTTGCATGTAAGTCAGATTTTAGCCTGTTGGTGAATGATTGGTTGAGGGACGGAACGCGTGTGATGAAAGGAATGTCACTCTTGTTTCAGCCCAAGCGGAAACACATTTGGCAGTAACGAAGTACAGAATGTCGTATGGGAGTTGCGAGTAGGAAGTTTATCTGAAAGTGGGTGGGGATGCTACAATTTTTATTGTCATTTTCGCTATCATTTTCTGCCCGGCCTTAATCGATCCAGTCTGCCCACTGATGACCGTTCAACTGACCATTCAGTCTGCACTCGCACTGCGCCCGGCTCTAACGATAGAAAAGGATCTGGCTGTTGTGCCTGCCCGATTGCCTCTGTCCAATTGGCCCCGAACCCTCGAATGATAGATCGAGATGAGTGGACTGAGCCTGTCTCCGTGACCGCCGTCTTCGATGTTAATGTTTGAGTGCATTCATGCAAAGTCGTTGGTCGCAGACGCTTTAGCAAGTGACATGAAGGGTTGTATGCCGATCGTTCATATGGACCGTTCTCCATAGAATGGAAAGGAGCGAGCCAGTCGAGTAAAGGCCATAGCACAGGAGAATTGGCTATCATAAGCGCCACCGTCCACTCCACCGTTGTCCAAATGCTGATCATCTTGCCATGGTCGTTAATGGCAGAAAAGTCCGTTCTGGCGATGGTTACTGTGCGGACCGCAGTAATGGCAACAACACTGTTTGGAAGCAGGTTAGTGCCCGGCCTGCTTGAAAGAGGCAGTGTCGAGTTACTTACAATAACCCCAAAATCAGAAGACTGATCATTACTAGTTTCTCCGGTCGGGTAATCTTTGTTCTTATAATTCTAGGCAGCGGCAAAATTAAAATTGCCGCATTTGTCACAACGTCAATGATGCTCACTGCCATAAAGGCAGCATTTCGATTGATGCAGTGGCCATCAGAATGTTGCAGGTTCCAGTTGTAGCTCAATGGGCGACAGTTCAAGAGGCTTATGAGGGTAGCCCCAAGGCTCCAGGAAATGCAGACCGCCATGATGACCAAGATCGCATGTCGAGCGGCCTTGGATGAAGCAGCGAGGGATCGGAACAGGGCCATTAAGATACTGCATTTCACCAAGCCCAGTCCTGTGGCGTAAGCCAACCGAAGATAGTAGACACACTGTATGCAGTCATTAGTATCGAAGCGTTGGCAGCCTATTGGGCGCATACATACCTTGAGTGTGAAAGTAAGCCTCCAGCTCCGTGTCTGAGACGTTGGGTAGCCACCGTGCCCGATTGTCAGAACTAGTAGGCAAATGCGACATCCGTTAGAATTTAACAAGTCCTATTCTCTAGGGTAGTCGCGAAAAAATACTCAAGAAGGTCGCCACGGCGTAGGAGTAGAATAAGAGCTGCAACGATCCCGTCAGATATTGAGCTAGAAGGACCAAGATGAATCCTTTTTGAATTGTCGGCGAGGGATTTGTCAAGAAGACTTACCAGAGACGCGAGCATCATGGATTCTGGCATGGAGAATAACGGCCTTCGTCTTCTGGACAACCAGAAGCGGAGACCTGTGGTGAGCGTTGCAAGGAAAAGACACACAGCCAAGGTGATGGCTACATCCCTTCCATCATGAGACAATTCTGCTGTGCGCTTTCCTATTGCCTCTGTAATCGAGCCCATGATGCCGGCTGCGGGCACTGATAAAACGCACCCGTGTAAAGGGAAGGGTGACACATCGGGAGGCCGATACAACGATGCCTCTCAAGGACATTGCGCTCGTCTGACGAGGAGAGGGGCGTATATAAGACCGTAACTTCGCATCCTGTCAGAACGCATTGTTGATTAGGCCTTCGCCCCCAAACTTTTCAAGCAAACTCAACGCTGGGGCGGTATAAGGGGCCCGTCAGAGAGAAGATAAGCCCCGAAAATCTGCAGGACATCCATGTGGTGGTCACACATGGGCGGGGGGGCCAAATCCTGCAGACTTCGGGTAGGCTGGAAGGAAGCCATTGATCAATAAAAGTAGCCATGAAGCGTGGATGGTGGATGCACGTTAGCGGGCCATGAGGCAGTGACAGACTTAAACATTCCACCTTCTCTTACTTATTATTACTGCTGCACAAATGGCTGGGTGTGCCCATTGCCTTGCAGGGTTTCTATTATCCTATAATATGTGCTTATTATTGATTTTGCCATAGTCTCATCTCAGCAGAACACACGAGTAGTCATCAAGTGGGATAGGCTTGGCGGGATAGCCCGAAGAACATGGGAAAATTAAGTAGTAGATCAGCACTATCATCACATGGCGAGGCTCTCCTTCAGCAAGCACTAGATTCCTTCGCATTTCTGGAGCACATCCATGGCCTGAGCACCAATTCTTCTTATAATATCGAAACCAAATCAATGGTCAAAGCTAGTTTCTGTTAGTTGCTGGCTCAAAGATATCAAATCCTAGCCAGCGTGCATGAGCCGTGGCCCGCGTACTTTCTGCTCAGTCAAGCCATGTGCCAGCCAACGATTCTGTCTGGGTTTACGTGGAGCATAGACGGTCAGCCACGCAGCAACCTTTCCCATAATGAGAGCGAGGGAATATCTTGCATAAATATCATTGAAAAAATAAAAAAGTACTACGCAGAAGAAGAAACAATGACTCTAGTCGCGCTGTTCCGTCGTGGTCTCGGCTCCGCATGGATTGACACACAGCGATCGTTTAGCACTCTCAACCATCCCATTACTTATTCCTGGAGTCGTTTTCAGGACACCGTCACTCTGGCTTTGCAGGTCTCACGTGCTATAGCGTCAAGGGCATGATCCAGGTTTGACAGCGGCCTGAACCTTCAATCCGACAAAACCTCCGCAGTCCGGTTCGTGCCATCTACTAATGCCAAGGAGGAGGTTTGTCCTACTGTGTACTACAGTGGAGGGGGTACAGTCTAGGTTGAAGATCTCGCAAGCGATCGGTTTGCAAGCAGTAATGATGAGAACAACATGTGGCGACTGAGACCTGAGGGTGTGATGTCATACTGGATAATCTGGAACTTGCACTTACTTGGTATGACATGGGGCAATCATTAGGATGGGAATGATCAAGAGAAGTTGTACGCCTGTCACGGGATAACTTCGCTCGGTAACCGTCTGAAGCTCGAAAGAAAAGCTCAAGGGGTTCTACGAGACAGAGCATTGGTCAACCCAATCAATTACCAAAAGACAGGAGAGTCCGGAGTAGTTAATGTGAAGGGGAATGCTGAATAGCGGGTTGGGCGTCAAAAGGGCCAGCCAGTCAAGCAGGCAACGAAACAAACTACTAAGGTTTTGTTACTAAATGAAAAGAAATGGTAGGCGGTCAGCTGCACAATAGCGGAGGGTAACAGCAAAACATCCAGATACCAAGCCCTACTCGGAAAGGGAAGAGAACCCCACCGCCAACGCAGCGAAAAACCAGGCCGAAGCCCCCGCTCCAGGTGTATTGGTGGTAAATAATACGGTGCGGTGCACACGACTCCATTCTCACTACTAGTAAGGTTCTCCAGCTCTCCAGCAGAGTCCATTTTCCTCTTTTCTCTTACTGTTGTGCTAGAACTACTGCTCCCCCAGATACCTTCATCTGTAATTCTTCCTCGCAGCAGCGCGAGGATCCCCCTATCGATACACAATGGCTGAGACTCAGGCCCCCGAGGTTGGTAAGTGCTCATGCCATATCCCAGCTACCCCTCTTGGTCCCTCCAATTTGAAAAAAGCTCCGGCGTTTGTGGGCTCCCGCTTGCTTTCGTCGTCATGGTTCGGCTTAGGTTTGGCGACGACTCTGGAGCAGCGGACGAGTGTTACGGAACGATCGCAACCTGCCCTCGTCTTGAACTGCCTGTCAAAGACCTTCATCTCTATCATCACCTTACAATCTCCGGCTTAAACATGCCTGTTCGCTCTCCACCCTAACTAACCCGGCCTCGGTCCATTTCTAGACTACACCCTCAACAACCCCGACACCTTGACCAAGTACAAGACCGCTGCTCAGATCTCCCAGAAGGTTCTCGAAGCTGTCTCAGGTGTGTGATTCCTCGACCCGGGCGTCCGCGCCTAGCTTAGGGCTACGAAATTCTAATCTCGTGATACTAGGATGGTGTGTTGAGGGTAGCAAGATCGTTGAGCTTTGCCAGAAGGGTGACCAGCTCCTCGAGGAGGAGATTGCCAAGGTCTACAAGGGCAAGAAGATCCAGAAGGGTATGTTCCCTTTGTTAGTCCGGAGAAATCAGTGTCAGATCAGCGAGTTAACGTGATGCGCCGGGGAAAGGTATCGCTCACCCCACCACTGTCTCTCCCAGCTCCTATGTGACTCCCTACACTCCCCTGGTGTCCGACGCTCAGGAGGCCGAGACCACCTTGAAGGCCGGTGAGATCGCCAAGATCCAGCTTGGTGCTCAGATCGATGGCTTCGGTACCATCGTTTGCGACATGGTCGTTGTCGCCGACAGCAACTCGTCCGCCGATGTGGTGACCGGCCGCGAGGCTGACCTTATCCACGCCACTCACTACGCCAACGAGCTTCTTCTGAGACTCATGGTTCCCCCTGGCCTGCTCGCCAGCGGAACTGATGAGGAGAAGCAGAAGGCCGCTGCCCAGAAGGCTCCTACCCAGGCTCAGATCACTCAGTTGATTGAGAAGGTCGCCAAGGCCTACGACTGCAACGTTGTCGAGAACACCACCAGCTGGCAGTTTAACCGCAACGAGATTGAAGGCGAGAAGAAGATCATCCTCTCGCCCGGCGCTGGTGTCAAGGGCGAGGGTGTCCCCGAGGTCGGTGAAGTCTGGGGTGTTGAGCTTGGTCTGTCTCTCGGATCCGGAAAGGTCAAGACCCTCCCTCACCGTGCCACTCTCCACCGCCGTACCACCACCACCTACGGCCTCAAGCGCCCTAGCTCCAGACAGACTCTCTCCGAGATCGTCAAGAAGTTCGGCACGTTCCCCTTCAGCTTGCGCCAGCTGGATGATGAGAAGTCTGCCAAGGTCGGTGTTGTCGAGTGTGTCCGTGGTGGTGTCCTGAGACAGTACGAGCCCGCCGGTGATGCCGACAACGCTCCCGTCTCCCGCGTCCTGACCACTCTTGGTATGTTTTGCCTATTCCTATTGATCTACGGTTACCCCAGAAGATATCTCTTCTAACAAGGCTCTAGCTATTACCAAGAACGGCATCACCCGTCTTGCCGCTCCCACCACCCCTGATCTTTCCACGTTCCAGACGGACAAGAAGATCGAGGACGAGGAGATCCTTGCGATCCTCGAGCGCCCGTTGGCCAGATCCACCGGCTCCAAGAAGAACAAGAACAACAAGAAGAAGACCGCCGCCAAGAAGGCTGACGAGTAAATCATCGTCTGACCTGGGCGTCACGTCTGCCGTGTCCGTGGGCGTGTTGGTTTGGCTCAAATGAAAGCCTATGATTTCTTTGCAGGAAACATTCTTCGTCATACCGAAACATTGGCGATGCGCGCCATTACAAAGATCCTTTTTGGAGCTGCATCCATGGAGTTCTGCAGATGATGAGGGATGGGGGAAATCCGTGCGAAAGATGAGCCATGTGGGAGACTGATGTCTTCCATAATACCCTATTACAAAACCTGTTGTCACATAACTAGTTCAGAAGTTCAGAAGATGCGATATGTAAATGCTTGAATAAAAAGAAGCAAAAAAAAAAATGAGGCAGAACATCTTGCTTTCCATCAACATTACTAGATCTATCCGGCCCATGTATACCGGTCTGAAATTTGCCTCCGATGTTGCATATCACGCTTTCAGCTTTGCCGCATTCATAGATGGATGCAGGTGTTCCCGGAATGGTTTTTTTCTACTCACTTTTATTTGCAGGCAATGAGACTATGTAGGATGATCCGTTCGGAGTTCAGTTGTATCTAACGGTGAGATCAGCATAACCCGGCACCTTCCCCAGGGCCTCCAGAGAAGAGGACATTTCGCCCCCGATGAGCTTTCCGGTCAACCAAGCATTAGATCATCTCTTTCGGTGCTTCAACGGGGTGTGGTATATCTCGGGAGACTGTCATATTGGAGAGGCAGGTTGCTTGCCCAGCCGTTGCCGCCACGCCACCCCCGACAAAGGCTTAAGGAAAGGCAACATTTAGTAGTTCTCTTTGTCAGTATCATTAAGCTTGGGTCTGATAGTTTCTCTCTCTTCCAAGTAGACTATTCGTTATGTTCAACAGTAGGGCTCAGCAAATAGCCATATACCGGCAGTGAATCCAGCTAGCTTGGTGGCTTGGGGCGGGAGGCACGGAGTGAAGGAGGACCAGCTGTCTATCCAAGAAGGTTGATTTGAGTGAACATACTGTGTTCAGCCCGTCCCAGCTCATTCACTGAGAGCTTCCTAGAGGTGTGTTGGGCAGTCTGAGTGTTGAGAGGGCATGGAGGTTGAAGGAGTGGGCCAACTGACCTCCGTCTGGCTTCTCCCCAATCCTTCCTCCTCTTCCATCTTCCATCTTCTCCCTTCCCTGTGCCTTTCCCCTTTCCACTTCCTACCCAAAGTTCTCCTGCCGACTTCCATCATCTCTGGACGGTTTGTTATTCTAAATACAGGAGAAACATCTACTGTCTACTTCTCTGGAGTACTTGTGGCAGTGTTGTACCCTTCTTTTCCCGCGGCTGCAAATTCGCTCTCAGTGACATCGGAGTATCATTCACTCACTTGCTTCACTTTCCCCAAAGAACCCCAGCCACAACAGCTTTCTTAACTACTCGCTTTTCCCCTTCCGATTTCTCTCCTCTTCTCATTCTTGATCATTCTTCTACAACGTGTAGCCCAAGTTATTACCTGAGCAACACGTCCAAGAATCACATCTCCTTGCTCTTCCGCGTCGTCAACGCCTCCTACTCATCAGTCTGATATCGGAACCTTTCCAGAGAAGTCAGCCACGATCTTTCTGCATAGAAAACACACGCGTTGTGTATAACGCATTGCAGAATCCTCGTTTGCGAACTTGACCTTTCTTCTGAGTTTCCGGACGCTGCTCTCCTGCTTCCTTGTTTCTCTTCAAACTTTCTCATTCATCCTCTCCTCCTCACTAACCTACATCTTCTTCCGCTTATCCATCATATTCTTCTTCGTTTGTCTGCCTTTTAGAGAAGGTTCGCTTTGCTTGTGGTTTCAAACGCTTCACCAGATTGTTCTTTGTCGTTGAATCCAGCAATCTCCTTCTTTGGCATCTACATCGGCACATATATTGTGTCTTCTACCTTCCAATACGTCGTCTTTGTATCAGCTACAGCAGAAGAAACTGATCCAAGAATCGCTGATTGACTTTGTCGTACCTGGTAAGTTTGATTATAGCCCTGGAGCTGTGTTTTGTGCGTGTGTTCTCCTTTGCCAGAGCTTTGGCTTACTCCTACGGACCAAGTCGGTGCTCGTGCTTTTGTCTTCTTGTGTCTTCTCCTGCTGTTGTATGTACATTAAGCACTGGACGGACCTCACTGTGTCATCAGGACGCTGCCATATAGTCCGCGTGCGTTGGGCATCAGACTTGGACTTGGAAAGCTTCAGGATGTTGAACGGCTGACCCAATCACAGGACTTGAAAACTTTCTGAAATAACTCAGCCTTCATTTTAATTTCTACACATACTCGATCCTATTGCAGCTTGTGTCATATAAGACACTTAGGCAGGATTTACAGAGTTGTGTTGGCTCTTATTACGATTCTATCTCACGGCCCCTTGACGCGTATCATAGGGTCACTCTAGTAAGCACTCCACTCCAGAAAATGAAGACAATAAGTCTTCTATTCTATACAACACAAAATCCAGTTTCAAGGATCTAATGTACATGGAAACCAGATCGAGGGTGTCTGGTATTTTCGTGGTTGACAGAGCTCCGCGGCGAACCCCCTAGAGGGAGGCCTGATTGGGACTCGAAAACTTCCGGCACTCCAACTCCGCAACCTTTCTTCCTTCCATCAACCCGCAGACAGCGCGCGGGCTGGCCTCGATTCCAACCAGCCACGCTGGGCACGCTCGGTGTTTGCTTGGAATCTATTAATCAGTGAGTAATTGCCATTCCAATTCGTCTGTCGTAACTTTTTGTTTTCGCAGGCTAACCCTGGCTCTGTAGCCGTTGCAACTTGCGAGCCCTGTCTACAACAATGGCTCCGAATCTCCGTTCGTCGTCCCACGCCTGGTCGAATAACTCTCGCCCCTCCACTCCACTTGGCGCACCTACTACTGCAAGCACTGCTTCTTCGCTCACCGATTCTACACGGCCTCGCAAGCAGCGCCGCACTGGCTGGAACAGCCGCGTGGCTACCGATCCTCCTCAGGACCCGCCCTCTCGTACCCAGTCGCGTTTGGAACAATCGAAGAATGAGGCTTCAGACACTCTAAGTGATACAAACCTTCTTGATAGCAGTGCCGGATGGGTTGAACCACCATTGAGAGAGCCTGAGCCCAGCTTCGCAGACACGCCATGGTGTAATGTGTCCCATCACGCGAACCCCGTACTGTCCAGTATGCGCCCACTGGGAACCATGCCGTCGGCTGCCGACTTGCGCAAGGTTGGACTGGCACCTATCAAGCCCAGTGTCCAGAACATCTCTGCGAAGAAGGAGTTACGGGCCACACCGAACGGCGAGGGAGGTGATACCAAACCTCAGACCCCCTTAACGCCCGCCGAAGAGCCGATGGACGAACCTCTGTCTACTAAGAACAAGGCCTCGCCGGACATGTCTGCTTTTACTTCTCTGCCTGTTCCTACATCAACCGATGTAGACGTCGATCGGATCAAGGTTGCTGTCGAAAAAGCCCTCCGACTGGCGCTAGAGACCAACAATCGCCCTGTTTCACGCGGTCTCATCAGATTGTGGGAGACATGCAACAAAGACCCTTTTGCGCTTTCTATTCTCGACGGCATCTGCCAGGAAAACCCCGGCCCGCGGGAACGCTCAGCCTTCCAGAGTGTTATGCGCGCTGCATGGAAGGAGGTCCAGGCGGAAGCCGACGAAGACATTGCCACGGCACCTGTCTTGGCTCGCCCCCGGTCGGCCAGCAGCATTTCATCACTCTCTTCGGCGGTATCCCTTGATGCTGAGACTTTTGCCCCCGGCATGGCTCCTGGAGCGGCAACTTCCCGTGCTCGCGCCAGGGGTAAAAAGGCCAAAAGGGGTGCACCTAAGAAGAAGGAGCCAGTCGCCCCGCCCAGTGCTGCTACGGCTCCCCCACAGAAGCATGCGCTTGAAGACGAGCCGAACCCCGAGGAAGAGGCACGAATCAAACGTACTCGCCTGCAGAAGCCTCTCCCAACCATTATAGCTTTGGAAAGTCAGATGCGTTCCTCATTGGCTTCTGACCCACAACAGTCTAATGTGCCATCTCCTGTCCCCACTGCAGCCAGTAGATCTCAACCAGCATCACTGGGAGCTGGCGTGAGTAGCAGACAGCGCTCTGAGAGTCCAGCCAGTAGTGATGCCGGCGACAACCGACGACTGACACCTACCCTGACGTAAGTTCTCCTTGTCTCTTTACCACTTGTTCCTCTGAACACTAACATGCTGGCAGAAGCGACAACGAACGCCAGGAGAACAACGACTTTTGCCACAATTGTAACGGAAGCGGCCAGCTGCTGTGTTGCGATGGCTGCCCAAATTCTTTCCACTTCTCCTGTCTTAACCCGCCATTGGACCCGGCAAACCCTCCAGAGGGGGATTGGTTTTGCCCGAAATGCTCGTTGTCAAAGCCTATGACGTCTTTGCTGGGTTCCCTGGACAACGCTCCACAGAAAGACTACCTCTTACCCCTTGGCATCCGCGATTACTTCACCGGTGTGGCTACGGGCGAAGAGAACAAATACGATGAAGTCGTGCCACTTCCCAAGTTCTATCCCCGCCGAGGAGCCCGCCATGGCCGTTATGATGACCCTTATCTGCTACGAACACAGGATGCCAAAGGCAATGTGATTCTTTGCGCAGCTTGCGGTCGCACGAGTGGCGGCCGTCAGCCCATCATCCAGTGCGACTATTGTCCTTGTGCTTTCCACATGGATTGCTGTGACCCGCCTATGCCCATGCCTCCCATTCAGAAAGGCGGAAGTAATCGTAGGAACCACAGCTGGATGTGCCCTAACCACGTGTGGCATGATCTACAATACTGGGTCAAGGACGAAGAGGGATACGATGTGCTAAAGCGCATTCGTCGTCCGAAGCGACCCCGAATGATCGACGTCGAAGTCCTTCCAGATGAGGAAGAGATCGAGAAAATGGAGGAACAGGAAGAGGAAGGTATCATGTACCGTGTGTCAGAGCGCGGTCTAAAAATGGACTTCATCCAAACAGTTAAGAGGTGAGTAGACTCCTAAGCGTGATTGTTGGTTAAATCTCTGACTTGTCTGACTTGTGGAGAAGAGAAAACGAAGAATACAAGCTGATGAAGGAGGCCGCCGGCAAATATCTGGACTATGCCACCTCAGAATTCGACAAGCTCGTGGCCAAGGCCAATGCATTCTACTCGTCCCAGAAGCCTGCTCTTCCGGAAGAGGACACAGCGGCTGCGATCTTGAACTCACGCACTATCGCTGAGCGGGAAGCGGCCGCGAACCTCATCTCACTCGCACAGGGCGACGGACCTACTAGGCAAGGGCCTGAAGATGGAAAGATCGGCTTGCTTATAGACCAACTCAAGGCAAACGCTCCGCCCGATCTTCCCTCGGCCAACACGGAGATCGCCTCTCTTCGTGCTCTACAGAATTTAATTGAACAACGCATTCAGGTGCTGAATGCGCAGTCGGAGCCGCCCCAGCCAGCCAGCACCGCCGTTCCATCAGAGGAATAACTTCAAATATCGTCACAGTCAAATCCCATCATCGAATCAATTTACTCGGAGCCTATTACATTGCCAGTCACGGCAACTCTCTGTCGGGAACAGCCATTCTGTTCTCGATAAACAAACAGCAAAACCGAAAAAAGAAAAGAAAGAAACCAAAAAATATGACGAAAAAATTCCAAAACACATATCAAAACAAAAGGACAAATAAAAGAGAGGAAAAGAAACACCAGGCTAATCCTCTGTGCATAGATTAAAAGCCACAACCGGTGTCTCCGCACTGAGACACTATCGGTTGTCACATATTGGCGATGATTCGCCTTGTCAGTGTCACTTGCGTCAGACCACGTCAGCGCATGCTTTACAAAGATTTTAACACTTCAACCTTCTATATTATTACGCCATGCTACGACCTTGGTTAACTACTATTTGTATTGCTGTTCATGTTCAGTTTGGCGCGGCGCATCGCAGTGGTTGGCAGGGATCACCCGTGGCATTAGGGAATAAGGCGTCGGCGTCCTACTACAGTTTCCACATTAGATGGTTTTATTCTTTTCTGTGCAAAAAAAAAACCATGGTCCCATTTCGGCTTATTGAACATTCGGCGCATACAGAGCATGGCATCCTTGGGCATATTGATTGAATGTTGCATAAGAAACGCAGCAATAGCTGCGAGGCATTTTCATGTTCCTTTCCCATTTCAGTGGTTTCTTTTTTTACTTTTTTTTTTTTTACTTTTCCAATGTCCGGTCCCATCTCCCCCGGCCGGTCCATCCGGGGGAGATGGGCCAAATTTTTCACTCATGTGTGTTTTTCAGACAATGTTGGGTAGACCGAGACGCACCACACCCACCACATCAAAAGGGACCTACCCCTAGAAGTAGTGGTGCGTCTCGGTCTACCCAGGAGAGATGGGCCAATATCTTTTCTACTCTCCTGTTTTTTTTTTAGACAACGTTGGTAGACCGAGACGCACCACACCATCCAGATCCAAAAGGGACCTACCCCTTATTCATGAATAGTGGTGCGTCTCGGTCTACCGACACACAAATATCCATTTCTGGAATTTCATGCATTTTACAATTTACTTCCGTTCCATCCACTCAATATCCCCCTTTAGAAGTGTGGTAGTAATAGTAGTCGTACTAATTCCCTCCTCCTTTCGCCCTTCTTGGTTCCGCAGTATCCGGGCAATACCGCACTACGGGATTTACTCGCAGAAAAGTCGGCCTAAAGCAGAATCCTTCGATTCCTCCTTCCTTCTCTTGTCCCGGGGCTCAGTGATACTACGTACTAGGTGGTTGATCAATATCATAGGATACTTTTGTCTGGAGATTTAATATTACATTTTATGAATCGCAAGCTGTTTAGTAGGCACGTGGCTTGATGAACATGATTGGTCGACCCCGGACCAGATAGTCTATATTGCGCTTCCCCGCACAAGAAAGTAAACGAGATCAAAGTCAAGCAAGTGTAATTGTAGAGGTACATGTTCATGTACAGTAGACCCGGGGGTATGTTTAAGGAACGCGACATAATATAACGTTAGCTAGTATAAGATAAAAGAATAGTTACACATGATGGGTTTATTCAGATAACGAAGAGAAGGAACACCCACACCGTACAACGGCGCTGTCGGGTTTCTCGTGATATCGTTCGTTACCGCAGACTGGCTGACTAGGGAGGTCATTTCAGGTCGTTGGTAGAGGTACAATAGGGAAGAGAGATGAGAAAATGTTTTAAAGGAACTTCTTGGGCATGTTCGCACGGCGACGCTTGTAGATGATGTAAGCCACGGCAAGAAGACCCTGGAAGGCGATGATCATGCAGATGAAGAAGCCCATGCGCGGGGCGGAGGAGGTGATGACTGTAAGTGAGCGTGTTAGTCGCTATTCGTATGGTTTGTAAAAAGAAAGGGGGGTGTGCTCACCTCCCAAGAGGTTCTCGGTCAAGCTGAGGTGAGACGAGCGCAAGGTCTCCTGAAGCTGGTTAAAGCGGCCGTGGTAGTCCTTGCCCTCCAGGTCACGCTGGATGGTTTGCAGCATCTGTTCCATTTTCTGGAGTCTGGCGTCGAGGCTGGCGATCTGGTCCTTGCTGGCGAGCTTCTGGAGGAGCTCGACTTGGCGGTTGGCGGCCTTGGTGTCTTGGCTTCCGAGTTCACGAAGGATGTTGTCGGTGGCTTGATTGACGCCCTGAACGCGGTTGCTCAGGTCGGCAAACTGCTGCTCAAAGCCAGTGTTGACAGGGGGTGCCTGCTGCTGCTGTTGAGGAACGGCCTGTTGCTGAGCGGCAATGGGCTGCTGGTTGGTGTTCTGCTGCTGGACGGGCACAGTGCTGCCTGCTCCGGACTCGGCGGATTGGAGAACGAACTTGAAGACTTCGAAGGAGTCGGGGTTCTCGGGGGTTGCGGCGGTAAGACCAAAAACGTTGCCGGTAGGCAGAGCGACCTGCTTGGGTTAGGTTGATGATAATGGAGATGTGACTGGGATGGACGCACCTTGTCGGTGGAAAAGCACAGCTTGTCGTCGACAGTGACCTCGAAGACAGACTTGGTGTGCTTCAGGCGGACGGTAGAGGGCCGTCCAAGGTTGCGGTAAGGGTAGTCGCAGTGACCAAAGGCCAAGCTATCAACGCTTCTGTGGCTCTTGTAGTCTGTAGTGCCATCGTTGAGGAACCCGCGCACACTTCCACCCTGGCAAATAATTAGCTTTGGCCATCAGACAGTAGCTTCTGACTTACCCTTCCGCCATGGCTGTCAATGACCAGAGCAAAACCGTCGAATTGGTTGACGGTATAGATGCTGGAAGTGCCAATTCTGTCTTTGCCGTCCTTGGCATACCAGAGCTGGAGGTTACCTCCACCCCTTTCGGGACCAGTCGCTCGGAATTGAAACTCTGCAGTCCATTCCGATAGCGATACACTATATAAACGGGTCAATATTCAATAGACAAAGAGCAGACGCTGACAGGACTTACGGAGTCTGGGACCAAGCAAATCCCCTTGTGTTGCCAGGGTAAGGCGGTGTCAGGATAATCTTGTTAGAAAGCTACGGAGCAGTTAGTACACAATGGCTTCGAGCTTCATGATGGGAGTGATCAGCATACGATGTCGGGATTGTGCGATTCTCCTCCAGTCTGCCACCCAGAAATAGCACCGCCATCTGTTGATAACCTGGGAGGCATTAGTATATCAGGAATTGACTCAGATGAGACCGATTGCAACAGTGACACTTACGTCTGGCCGAAACCAAAGCTGGAACTTTCAATCACCGACTGAGCTGCGGCGGCAGCAGCCAAAGAAAGGAGAGAAGCAGGGATCTTCATGATGTCTATGCAATCGGAGGCTCGTCACGCAAACAAGTTATGCAGGTACTAAAGTTTCAACAAACGACAATGAGGGGAAAGGCTAAGTATGTATCCAAAGCACAGCAGAAGCAGTCAATGGGTAAGAAGTAGAGAGGGATTGACAATGGGAGAGCCAGATAAGAAGCAGAAGCAGAAGCAAGGTGAAGCTCCGAGTAAGCTTGGTGTATCTTGTTACTGGTCCGACGACGATCTCCGGTTCAACAAGGCGGAGACAACGCGCGAGGTGGTCCACCCAACCACAATGGCGATCACGCAGAAACGGATTTCCCTGGCAATGGAGGTAGTTGCGGGGGAGAAGTCGACCAGATGACGAATTTCCAAGCTAGAGAGAACGACCGAGTGACGGACTCCTACGTCCGAAGCCAAGTCCATTGCCGCAGCAAATCGTAACCAGAAGATCTGCCGGGAAATGCAGGGGACAGATTGGCCTTTCTGCTCCCCGTCCCCTGTCGCGGTCACGTGTTCCCCGCCCCGGATGGGTTCCATGGGCCTAGTATTCTTGTCATTGTTCCTCTCCCTCCCCAGAACTGGCACAACTTCCTCTCGCCTTTCCATGCCCCACGCTCCTTTCCTTTTCCTTTTCCGGGCGGCGCGTCAAGCGCAAAACTACCAATGACCGATCTATACCCTTCTTTGGCGCAGTGCGCCATTGTTGCAACTGCTTTCAAAATCCTTTTGTTCCCCGCATAGTACGTTGGTCCGCAAATGGTCTAGAACAGCACCGCGAGGTTGCAGAACTCACAGCTGAATTGTGGCTGGAACGTGCAGCAAATCCACCGACTTTGAGGTTCATCGAAACTGGCTTGCGATTACACACTCGTTGCCCGTCAAGGAATGGTACTACGAGGTACGTACCCGCCAGCGCATACCGCTTCAAGGGTGATTCATACTAAATTGCGGATTCACAATTAGAAAACATCGGAATGGACGCTCGACTACCCTCCCTTTTTCGCGGCATTTGAATGGGTGCTCTCCCAGGCGGCACGTTATGCAGACCCGGCGATGTTGATTGTCAACAACCTCAATCATGATTCATGGCAAACAATTTACTTCCAGAGGGCCACGGTTATCGTCACGGAGCTTGTTCTGCTCTTCGCTTTGAGCAGGTAATTCCACCATCCCATATATAGCCTCGCTCGATTTGCTGATCCAGGAATGACTAGATTTGTCAAGTCGGTTTCGCAACAAAACAAACACCTTGCGCACATCGCCAGCCTGTCCATCTTCTTGTCCCCCGGTCTGCTTATCATCGACCACATTCACTTTCAGTATAACGGATTTCTTTACGGCATCTTGATATTGTCAATCGTTTTGGCGCGGAAGCAGTCGACTCTTCTCTACAGTGGGATCAGCTTTGCCGTTTTGCTATGTCTGAAGCACATCTATCTATACCTCGCCCTGGCATACTTCGTCTACTTGCTGAGGGTCTACTGTCTGGACCCGAAGTCGATTTTCCGCCCCCGATTCTTCAACATCATCAAGCTCGGCGTGTGCGTGGTTGGCGTGTTTGCTTTGGCTTTCGGGCCGTTCGCCTCCTGGGGTCAACTGCTTCAATTGAAGGACAGGCTCTTCCCCTTCTCTAGAGGGTTGTGCCATGCGTACTGGGCACCGAATGTTTGGGCGATGTACTCTTTTACTGATCGCATCTTGATCCAGCGTAAGTTCAATTTACCCAACTCCATGCTTTCGTTCAGAGGAACTTATTAGTGCAGTTGCTCCGCGGGTGGGTCTTCCAGTCAATCAGGACGCTCTGGTCAGTGTCACCCGTGGTCTTGTCGGAGACACGTCTTTCGCTGTGCTTCCTGAAGTCACCAAGGAGCACACGTTTATCTTGACTTTCTTGTTCCAGTTGGTAAGTTTTTATATCCGGTTTGATTCCGCGCAACACCGCTAACGGTCGCTAGCTCCCGTTGATCAAGCTCTGGCGCAACCCTGAATGGGAGACTTTTGTCGGTGCCATCACCCTGTGCGGATATGCATCATTCCTGTTCGGCTGGCACGTCCATGAGAAAGCGGTACTCCTGATCATCATCCCATTCAGCCTCATCGCGCTCAAAGACCGGCGCTACTTTAGCGCGTTCCGCCCCCTGGCTGTCGCCGGACACGTTTCTTTGTTCCCTTTACTCTTTACGGCCGCCGAATTCCCGATCAAAACGGTCTACACGGTCCTGTGGCTTGTGCTGTTCCTCTACGTATTTGATCAGGTGGCGCCTGTCTCCGAGCGACGCCGGATCTTCGTCGCCGATCGCTTCTCCCTGCTGTACCTAACCATTGCCATCCCACTGATCATCTACTGCTCCATCCTGCACCAGGTCATTTTCGGACTGGAGCGGTTGCAATTCCTGCCCCTGATGTTCATGAGCAGTTACTCTGCCGTTGGAGTCGTGGGTAGCTGGATTGGATTTATGGTAGTTTACTTTACAGCATGAGAGAGAGCAAACTGTATAGATATAGATACCAAACAGTGCTGAAAATTCAATACCATAATAAATAATATTCACACAAAAGTTGGATAAAGAACCATGATGTAATCCACCCCGCGCCACAACCAGCCGCACCACATACACACACACGTACACACCGCCCTAAATCATCAGACGCGGTGCGCGCCAGTTTGCTCAGTTTGGCTCATCCACGTGCAACCCATCGCCCGAACTCGGACCCACTTGATCAGCCAGTTTTGCAAAGTTTATCATCAGCCATCAGTCCCAATGTAGTTTAGCGCGCATCGGGATCGTTCCCATGGATTGTCACACTGCAGATGAGACTTCCGTTGCTTTCTTCTTCTTTTATCACTTTATGCTTTGTTTCATGCACAATGTGAGTGAGTTAAGTATTGGGTGCTATTTGGGGATATAATTAGTTGATAGATTTCTTTCATGGGTGGAGAGGTTGGATATGCCTTGCGTTGTTGTGGGGAATGTAGTTTGTTTTGGGCAAGTACTTACTAGTATATACTATCTCGGTGGGTGATAGGTCAGATTGGGGTTACTATGGGGGTGAGTAGAATGAACACGACAGATAGGAAAGAGTTCGGGGAGATGTTTCACTTACTATGGGTTTGTTTAGGTGGCTTTAGGTTTATGTCTTACATGTAGACTGTGTTTCTAGAATGTGGTGGGTGCTTGATTGATGTTGTTCTTATTGACGGGGCAGAGATTGCATAACCTCTATTTTCGGGTTCTTGTATGAAAGGCTTTGTCTGAACGACAGTTTCCGAATACAATAGAAGAGAGTAGTGATATATTTAGAGTAGTTCATGGCAGGAAACAAGCTTCTACATGCAAGTGATAAAGGAAAGTACCGTTTTTGTTGTTGTGGATTGTTGAATACGGTGGGTGGTGCTGATGTACCCTATAGTTAGCCAACCATGTAACTTGATCGCGATAATAGTATTGGACGAAATGAAAGATCAGTCTCTATATTATTTTTGAAGCGAGGATAAGAGTTGATATTATAAGATAGAATTACTTAGTTAGTAGTAATGGTGGACGTCTGTAGTCGAGATGACTATAGTTTGAGGGTAGTCTTTCAATGTATGACCTAGCGGAGAGCAAGGATTTTACGCGACAGATACCAAAGCTAGCTTGTTCTAGATCTGGCTGTCTTAGTATTTGTTGTATACAAAATTATCAAGTTGGTGGAGCTTCTGCTAATCGTTAGGTATACTGCTAAGAAGCCCGGGCTACTCTTGCTCACTATGGAGTCCAAGTCTGTGTAAGCTCATTGCTACCGAGTTTCGCCGATTGTCTGTACCAGATACATAAGAAGCAGGCCCTGCTGCTTAGTAGATATCGATTATTAGTTGTTAAGCTGGCACCATGCATACATGATAAGTTGCTCAAGCATGCAAAGTGATACAGTAGCCAACTATAATCCGGTAGCAGCATAGATTTCAGCCAAGCTAGTTCGGGGGATGCAGATAAAGGGGATATAAAATGCATACCTGCTTCTAGTGAGTCAGAACGAGGTGGGTGCGAGAATGGGCAAGCTCCGAGCATTGAATGGATACCAGGTCAAGTACCCGGGTGAAACTACACGAGAACTGTCAAGTCGAACTATGACACAAACAGAACGAACAGCTTGCTACGACAATAGTAGTAGCACTAAATTACCAGAAACCCACAGTATATGATTGTAGTAAGTCAGAAAGGTATGTAAATCCGGATGTGGCTGCAAAACTACTGGCTTGTTGACCTCGAGTCGCAAGGTCAGTGAGATCGTCCCCGCAGACGGGTCAGGCCGTGATCAGATAGAGCCAGGTAAAGTGAACAGAGTCGGTATTGGCAATACCAGATTTATCTCAGAATAATCTCCGGAAAACGACGATTCGAATGAGTGCAAAAACATGGGGGTAATGGAGGAAAGAGAGGGACGAGCAAACAGGAAAAGGGCACTGGGGGGCAAAGACGGGGAGTGGGAGAGGGTTAAGGGAAGGAGAAGCAGCCCGAAGCGGTATAGCGGCAGCGAATCCCTACCGAGCGTCCGCCCGACGTCTTGTCCGTTCTGTTCTCCTCCTCTCGGCCAATCACCGTGCCCGGTGCCTCGGCGGCCCTCCCACCACTTGCCGCAATGATCCTCATGGGGCCCGGTTCTGCCGTCGCTCTTTTGCGGCGACCGCTTCTCTCCTTTCTGCCTTCTCCTCCTCTTCTCTTTCTTCTCTTCGCCTTCTCTCTCAGTGCCTCTTCTTCACTGCTGCCCTCCCTCACGCCTCGCGCATCTTCCCCGCACGCAGCTCCGTCTCCCTGGGATATTATACCCGCATCTAGATCTCGACTCCACTTTCGACTGAGCTTGCGGCTCCACGCTTCCCTCGTCTCGTGTCTTGGTCGCCCCGGGTCCGCGAAACTGGTGTGAAGCGCGATTGAACACGCGTCGTGTGAGTAAATCCGCGATCTACACTCCTATCCAGACCTCGCATGTTTGTTGGCGACTGCCCAGGCTTGCAGATGCGCCATCGGATTGCCTTTTATGGATCCCAAGGATCTCTCCGCGCGCAGGCATTTCGCATCGAACCCACGTCTTAAAGCACAATGAGTCTTTTACGTGCTTTGGGTTCTTTTTGCACCGCGCATTGCTCTTTATCTTCTGGATTCTTTGTCCTTTGTCTCTGTCATACGTATAACTAACTATTGTTTGCGCTTTCTAGTCACATCCATGCTTTCCACCACCCCGAGCAGTCTATGATCGATCGTATTATAACTAATATTCCTTGAAGGACCATGGTATGTCGCGAAAATATTCCACAATGCGCTGGCTATGAAACGGAATGGATGGCAGGAAGAAAATTGCAACGAGACTGACTTGGCTGTTTAGGTATTGTTCAAGCGGAAACCGGTCCAGTACCTTCCTCGACCGGTCATTGAAGATGACAGCTCCGAGGCATGCATACCCCTCAACATTCGAGCGACGTACCTGCTGACATGAGATTGCAGGTCTGGGTTATCCCGGAGACCAACGAAGTTTTCGTCAACTATGAACCGTATCTGCAAAGAATGGATTTCTACAAGCAGCGGAGGTTCATTTGCGAGATAACAGGCCACTCGGGCCTGACCTTTTTCGAGGCTCTTCGAAGCGAAGTATGCGAGAGACTTATTCGCGCATTCTTGTTCCCAGACGCTAACGTCCTGTTAGATGGAGGAATCGCGCGAAGTTAACAACGCATTCCCCGATGCCCTCAAAGAACCCATTCTGCGCCGACTTCAGTTTTCCACAGTATCGCGGGTCGATAACCTTGGTATGTACATATATGGTCGATATCGTGAACATCTTGAGTGGAAGCTAACATGCGCATTTTAGTGGATGAAGTTTACGAGGTAATTACGTGGTTTGGTATAGACTTGCCGATTTGCATGTCGCTGACTAGTATTAGGAGTTTAAGCAGGATTTTTACCCAGGAGAACCCGTCCTGATTCTACTGGATGATAATACTCGTCTTCACGGCACAATCCGAGACAAAGTCAATTTTCCGGACCAGCTCAACCCTGATGGAACACTTAAAAGGCCGGCCTATTCCACGTATCTCGTCAAAGTTACGGATCGTCCGAATGAAGAGGCGCTACTGGACCAGGAGCACATCACTCGCGACCGGAAGACATTCACCAAGCAAATGCTGCGTGCGTTCATCAAAAATAACGTAACTCGAGAGTCGTGGAATGGTGCACCGTGGCTGGTGAAACCTTCTATTGCAGAGGAGTTTAGAATTCCGACTGAAGTACCAAAGCACCTGCAGTACGGGGCAAAGGTTGCAGAAAAGAAGGCGATGAAAAAAGCGGACCAGGAAGGCTTCTTTGGCTTTTTCGCATCCCAGCAATTACCCGAGTTGAAGCCCGCGGTAAAGGGCCAGAAAGGCAAGCCTTCCCAACAGGATATGGCCCGGAACAAAGAAGCACAGTTCCTCGAATACCAACGCTCACTTAATGGCAACCCGACTTTTGTTGTCGCCAATAAGCCCACAAACGGAGCAGCCCGATCCACCAAAACCCAGGAGACGGAAAAGAAGCCACAGCCTGCCCCTGCGGTTGTCGTCAAAGCCGAACCTCCCAAGGAGCCATCTCCCCCGCCGATCAAGTACCCTATCGAGGATCTCGATATTGCTCCAGACCGCGAAAAGAAGAAGCAACGCCCGGAATTGAAGTTCTTAACCGTGGACGAGACCGATGATCCCGAGGATGCCGATCTCCTGCATGATGACATTGACTTGGAATCAGTCGGGCGTCTCCTGGAAACGTGGAACACTCTTAACGTCTATTGCGAAGTCTTCCAGCTCGATTCTTTCACTTTCGACGATTTCGTCCAGGCTATGCGGTTTTCATCCGAGGACGTGGACTGCGAGCTATTCGTGGAGATGCACTGCGCCGTCCTGAAGAAGTTGGTCAATGCGGAGAAGGATGACAACGGCGCTGTCCAGATATCTCTACCGGAACTTCCAGACGAAGAAGAGAACGAATCTGAGGAGGAAGGCGAGGAAGAGGAGGACGAACCGACACCCGAACCTGAGCCAGTGGTTACGAGAATGACCACTCGGAGTAGCCTGGCGAAGGCTGAAGCAGAGAATCTCAAAGCGCAGGCGGATCGGGATCGTTCGAGCTCCGTGGAGGTCAAGATTCATCGCGCTGCAGAGATGTTTGGGGAGTACGGCTGGATCGATCGCCTGCGGAAGCGTGATTTCCGAAACGGGGGTTGGGAAATGGTGATGATCGGACTCCTGCACCAGTTGTCCGCCCGTCCACGGATGGAGAAGGTGTGCAATGAGATTTTGAAGCACCTAGCTCCATTGGATGCGGAACCCACCCAGGAGACTGCGCAAGCTCAGTACTCTACACTGGATGTGAACCTGCGCGTCCAGGCTCTCCAGATCATCTGCATGCTCAGCCTAGAGACTAAAGCCATCCGCAACTATCTGGAGGAGTGCAGTAACCAGATGACCGAGTTCCGCAAGGAGAAGATCGAGTACCAGAAGGCGCGCAAGGCAGCGTATGTATACCTTGTTGAACTGATTCCGTTTGCACAAAAGCTTTTGCGACAGACTGGCTAACTTTATTATGATCACAGTCTTGAAGAACTCCGCCGGTTACATCAGGAGCGCAAAGCTCTGCAGCCCGAGCCGGAAAAGTCACCCAGCCCAGCACCTGAATTGGAAGCCCTGGAAGACTCCAAAATGACCGGTGTGGATGGCGATTCGGAAGCTGTGGATTCGGATGAGGAAGAAGTTCCTCAGCGGACGCTTCGTGGAGGCATAGACCGGGCGCTTGAACGCAAGCGCAAGCAGGAGGAAGAACGCGAGAGAAAAGAACAACTGGCCAAGCAACCCAAGGGCTCCAAGCAGTTCCAACGAGTGCTCAAGAAAATTGAGGACCAAAAGGCCAACATCCAGAAGCTTGAAGATAAGATCAATGTCGTCGATAATGATCTAAGGGAAGCCGACTGCCCGCGGACCAGGTGTCTTGGAAAGGATCGGTTTTGCAACCGCTATTGGTGGTTCGAGCGCAACGCCATGCCATACGGTGGGATGCCCAACAGCTCAACGGCAGAAGCGCAGTACGCCAACGGTCGCCTATGGGTTCAAGGACCCGATGAGATGGAGCGTGTGGGATTCATCGACGTCTCAGATGATCTGAGGAAACAATACCAGAAGGACTTCCAGACCACCCCGGCGGAGCGCAAGAAGACCGAGGAAGGACATACCAGACTCACCAATGCCACCGAATGGGGCTACTACGAGGACCCAGAGTCGATCGACGCACTTCTCGACTGGCTTGATTCGCGAGGCCACCGCGAGTCCAAACTCCGCAAGGAATTGCTGCTGCAGCGTGATAATATCGTGAAGTACATGAAACACCGCAAAGAGTACCTAGAGCCGACGTCCGACAAGGAGGAGTCGGAGGATGTCCCGGCCAAGCGCATGATAACGCGGAACAAGACGTATGTGGATGATAATAAGCATCGCTGCATGCGTTGGCGCAATACCACGGCATTGTCGGACAATGGTCATCTTCATGTGGATGCTTCACGGCCGACGAAGCGGGCGAAGAGGATGACGGATGAGCCCAAAGAAACCAAGGCGACCAACCGTCAAGGCAAACCGCTTACACGACAGGGCACCAGATACAACTTTTAAAGCAGCCCATCGAGGCTTCTTTTTCATTTTGGTTTTTGGACATACAGGTGTTTCTGGGGGTTGAACTGCATGCATTGCTGAGGATACTTGGAGTCGTCAGCAACCCAAAAAAGGTTAGTATATCGATAGAATTGCATGAGCGACGCGACCATGATGCTTTTGATTTCCCGCATATATTTCCATTCTATGTTATACTTAAGTTCGTGATAGACGGGAAAGGGGAGTGTTGCTGGGCTGCGGAGGATGAGATTTACAAGGCATTGCCAAGTATATATATGACTGTTCAAAAGGAAAGAGAACTGTTTGCCCCTGACTCGCGGGGATTGTACATTATCTTCCGAGAAGACGAATAGAGGGGATACTGGTATAGTTGATCTAAGTATTAAGTGCTGGAGTTAGCTATCTTTATCTCCGGATGAGTAACGCCGCGGCTGCGGTTGGCCGTCCAAATCCGGAAAAATACGACCGCCCGCCACTCGGAAGCCGAGGTGTTATGTGACGGTATTCAGCTGACTGGGCAGTGGCAGCGGCTGGTATCGGCACGTCAGCCTGTAACGTCATCCCCGGCGATTCTGAGTTTCCGCTCTTCAGGCCGCCCGACGGAGTGCCACCATGACGATGCTTTATCATCTTACGCCTGGTGTCTGGGGCGTTGCTCGCTATTAGGCCTTTCTTTTGTTATCTTTGACTCCCCTCTTGTTGAACTTATCTCCGGCGTGAGAAGATATCCTTTTGACTATTCACCCCGCGGCATCCTATCTCCATGGCCCCGATCCTCCGCTAGTCCGCGACAGACCTTGCTGCAGTCTCCTCAGATCACCCCCCCGAAGAAGCACCGGGTCTCGTGCCAGTCTTGTGCTCATGTCGGCTGTCATTTCGGACCATGCTCAGCCTGACTCCTCTACTACCGGATCCGACCCCTCACAGTTTCGTCCTACATCCCCATCCTTAAACAATCCGCAATCGTTCTCTCCTCAGATGGAGCAGGTCGCACAGTCGAGACCGGCCCGAGGCTCGACACCAGGCGATGCAACTGATCGCCTAGCCGTGGGTACGGCGCAGACGACTGCCGTCGACGATGCCTCCACCCCGCGTCCGTCGCAAAAGAGCCGTGGCGCTACGCAAGAAGTCAACAAGCGGAGCGTGGACTACTTATTACGAAGTGGAGTGGCGGGGGGTTTGGCGGGATGTGCGGTGAGTTTTGCTTCTGCAGGAACGCAGAGGATCGGAATGCAAACCGGACGTGATGGACTAATTTGTGTCACCTAGGCCAAAACTGTTGTCGCTCCTCTCGACCGCGTCAAGATCCTGTTTCAAGCGTCCAATCCACAATTCGCCAAGTATTCCGGTAGCTGGTTTGGCTTAATATCCGCTGTTCGTGACATCAGGCGCCATGAGGGCCCCAGAGGTCTCTTCAAGGGCCATTCGGCGACATTACTCCGCATTTTCCCCTATGCCGCTATCAAGTTTCTCGCCTACGAGCAGATCCGAGCAGTGGTGATTCCGTCGCGCGACAAGGAAACGCCGCTGCGCCGACTCGTCTCTGGAAGCATGGCCGGCATGACTTCTGTCTTCTTTACGTATCCGTTAGAGCTTATTCGAGTACGCTTAGCATTCGAGACGAAGCGCACGTCTCGCTCGTCGTTCCGCGATATCATCCGGCAGATTTACAACGAGCGGGTCACTATGCCATCATCGACGGGGGCATCAGTAAAAGAAGCCCCAGTGACCGCCACTGCAGAAAGTGTCTCAGCGACGGTGAACAAAGTTGTTCCTCGTTCTGGACTGGCCAACTTCTACCGTGGATTCGGCCCGACTCTCATGGGAATGCTTCCCTACGCCGGAATATCCTTCCTCACCCACGACACCGTCGGCGACTGGCTGAAATCGCCGACGCTATCCCCTTACACCACGATACCTGAATTCGAAGAAACCGGACACCCGAAGAAACATCATCGGCAACAACTAACCGCCGCTGCGGAGCTTTTCTCCGGAGCGATCGCGGGTGTTGTATCGCAGACTTCCTCGTACCCGTTCGAAGTGATGCGACGACGCATGCAAGTCGGCGGCGTCGTCGGCGATGGCCACCGACTTGGCATTGTCGAGACTGCCCGCACGATATTCCTCGAACGGGGTTTCCGTGGCTTCTGGGTTGGGCTGACGATCGGATACCTCAAGGTGATTCCGATGACGGCCACCGGATTCTTCGTTTATGACCGGTTGAAGGGAAGACTTGGCATTTAAGAACCAAACTAAACCACTGTCGATCTGCAGAATTTGTCTTCATTTTATTTTCTTTGTCTAGATATATACCGAGTTGGCGTCGTTGGATTCGATACCTGCACCTGCATTTGTTCATACCCAGATTATCGCATGTACGAGAGCCTGGTCTGGGCTCGGCTTCCATGGGAATGGATGACGGAATATTGTATATACATATACACTTTACAATGACTGTTGCTGCGCACTATCTCAGTGAGAGCTGATAGTTGCGATCAGTTGATAGTTGGAGCGATCTACACCTTATCGCGATCATATGCAATCATACAAAGAGAACCGTTATATCATCCAGCCAAGAGTTACTCCTTATTAGGTTCATCATCACTTCTTCTGTACCTAGTATCATCCTCGTACATCACAGATTATGAATCGTCAATCTACAACCTATGGAGGGGAGTGGTACATCGAAGTATCTAGATCCTGAAGGTGAAGGAAGTCCGAAAATCCACACCTCCGATTGGCCACCCACCGCGGCGCACAGACCACCAAAAAAAAGTTCCCGTTCGATGAACTCTGCAATCATCTCCAATTCCAATACCTCTTTTTTCATTTCTCCTCTTACATACATACACAATATACAAGATACGAATATATCTAGCATAATGACCACCCGCAAGCGCAACGACTTCCTCGACATCGTCGAAAGCGACGACGAATCCGGCAACGACGACCGCGGCTACGACTCCGAAGCAGCGGAGCAAGAAAAGAGCAAAGGCCGGGCCGTGAAGCGCCGGCGCACGCAACCAGTGCAGTCGACGAGCGATCTACACGGCTTGAACGATGGATCGGAGGATGAGGATTCTGATAATGGGGTTGGGTTGGGAGATAGTGAGGATGAGAGGGTGGTTATGAAGGGTAGGAGCAAGAAGAGCAAGAAACAGGCTGCTGGGTCAGAGGATGAAGATGAAGAAGACGAGATGAGTGACAACGACGAAGACCACTACCTGGACGCCAGAACGGAAACAACAGAAGAATCCTCCTCCAAGAAATCAACAAGCAAGAAACCGCTCGACAAAGCCAAGAAGGCGCCTAAGAAGAACAAAACGGGCGTGATTTACTTCTCCTCTCTGCCTCCGTACCTGAAACCGTTTGCGCTCAAGAACCTTCTCGAGACCCGGTCGTTCGGGCCTATTACGAGGGTGTTCTTGTCGCCTGAAGTCCGTCCTGCTAGTGCGCCTCGTCGGAGATCTAATAAGCGGAAGACGTACTCGGATGGATGGGTTGAGTTTGCGTCGAAGAAGACGGCGAAGATTTGTGCGGAGACGCTGAATGCGACGATTATCGGGGGTAAGAAGGGCGGGTGGTATCATGATGATGTGTGGAATATGAAGTATTTGAAGGGGTTCCGGTGGGCGGATCTGATGGAGCAGGTGCAGAGGGAGAGGTCGGAGAGGGAGGCGAGGAAGAGGGTGGAGGATTCGAGGGCTAGGAAGGAGGATAAGGTGTTCTTGGAGGGGTATGAGAAGGGCAAGGTTATTGAGGGGATTCAGAAGAAGAATGAGGAGAAGGGGAAGAAGAAGAAGGATAGTGCGAATGATGTTAGGATGGTGTTTAAGCAGAATGAGGTTAAGTTGGGGAGGGATAAGAGTGTGGAGGATCCCGGGAAGTTGGGAGATGATACGACGAGGGTGTTGGGGAAGATTTTCTGATCTACTACTATTCTTGTTTGTGTAGTCTAGGTTCCTTTTCTTGGTTAATAGATATCCCTATTGTCTTGTTTATTGGTCTATGGATATGGTGGTGTATACTAGGCTAGTGTTGAAGATTCGAACCAGCAGAATTGACGTAATAACTGCATATTAACACCATGCATTCGTCTGGTTTGGTGGTAAAAGGATTAACTAACTCCATCCGTTCTTTGACAGTGAGCTCCGAGTGGTACACCTGGCAGTCAATATGGGCGTGGTGTAGGGCGGCAGCGATGTACATCTGCTGAGAAGGTCCCGTACACCACACGATTGACTTCTCGTTCAACTCAAAAACCTCCTGCTGCAAATTACTTAACAGGGCCCGCAACTTGGGACTACCTCGAAGTAAATAAGTTAGACAGGTCTCGTCATCGAAGGTATCAGGGATCCTGTGGAAGGCTTCTTCAGACTAGATATAGATCTTTGCTCCTTGGCTGCCTATACAGAAGGAGGAGGGTTTCCAGGGCGCTAAATGAGATTTGCTCCTCATGACCATGTCAGAGTATGAAGATACCCTGCCTACAACCCTAGCTTACCCTCCGATACCAGTAGCGTCAGTCTAGATAAATTTCAGCCCAGCTTGACATTGAACGAAGCTGTGATCAACGATACAACACACCGACAATGGATGTTCCATTTTAATCAAGACCAGCTACTCCGGTAGATTCTAATACTGCGGTTTCTGTGGGAAGATATGCGCGTGTGAAAGCAGTGCCTTCAAATACTCTCGAGAGGCTCTGCTTCGGTCAAAATAGTCGAAGCCATGCTGTGCTGTACCGTCAGTTCCTTGAGCCGTGATTTTATTTGGGTAGCATTGATCGTGTCATATATCAACCGAGAAAGAATGTGCTTCTGAAAGAATTCGACTGAGAGCAGGTGATTTTCGTGAGACGCCAGCTGATCAGGACTCAGGTGGGAAGCGTCCAAGGAATCATAGAGCAGTAGTCAAGATATCCATTAGAATATATATTCCGAGTAATGAAAGAAGGTGTTGCTGCCATAAGCAGATTAAAGAAGACCTACAACCACTATACTGATAGTGAAGTCCCAGAGGTCCTGTCCTGCAGATAATGTGCCTCATCACAAACCAGCAGAGCGAAGCAACCACTCATATAGTAAGGAAATCTGGATTCGTAAGGAACAGAATACAAACTCCTGTAAACTATCGGTAGGTTTCTGAGGATTCTTGTCCACTCATACCTTCGCTTCGCATACGATTGGCGGCCTATCACGCGTGATCCAGTCGCGGAATCCTAGTCTTTGATCTTGAATGTTCAGAGTTTTGAAACATGCACGCCCCTGCTGTAGAGCCCAGTGCGTAAGAGGAGGACTTTGAGGGGATAACAGCCGGGGGGTTGGATAGGTTTTGTTTGTGTACAGCTACATATTGGCCGAGTTGTTTTCATATACTATCAGATGTCAGGTGCTTTTTTTTGCAGAGTGCTGAAGCACAAGGTAGGGAGTATATCCAGACTCTTACGCTTGTCCAGTAGTATTTTCAGTGAATTCCTGATCTCCTTCTTGCAGGTCTTGTAGATCAGAAAGGGCCTTGAATATTTTAAGCGCTGTCGAACCGCTTACTGCAACTTGGTTCTGTGCTTGGTATAGATTTCCTCCAGTTGCGGCAGACTTTGCTTCAATTATAAAGAAGGGAAATCGAAGCCCAAGGGACGTTATATGAGGGTCGCTGATAAGAGTGAAGGTTTCTTGCAGGTCTGTCTCCGCAATGACTTTGCCTTTCTTGGGTGTAAGAGCCTTATTTAGCTCCGCCGGCGACACCTGACCATGGGCTGCACCATCAACTAAATCTAGCATTTTGAGACAATTTTCAACTTACTTCCATGGGTTTGTTGAGTTGACTAGGAGGGCGCATCTCCACCAGTACTCCTTTCAACGCCCATCCAGCTGTCCTTGACCTGCTCACTGGTTTTTCTATCATAGAAAACACCTTCGTTCGTCAGTAGGTTCTCTTGCTTAACCCAATAAAGGAAGCAAGCCAAGTGTGCCCTTTCCAAGGTCCAGCTGGACGGGCTCGTCATCATATGCAACACTGAGATTAGTGCCTATTTGGACAGAGATCATCTTGTCGCACTGCATTGAGCCATCATGTTTAGTGGAGAGATTTCGAGGGTTTCTAAGACCTCTGTGCGATTAAAGTTGGAAACGAGGGCACCTGAGCTTGACAGAAGAACAGGTGACCAGTAGCTAGATTTTAGGCACGCATCGAATCGGTATTCGGTGAGCTGTTGTGTAGAGCAGCAACCAGATATGATATAAATAGCCAAATTATTCGGGATTATTGGCATTGTCTCTTAAGACTCATGATTCCATAGAGTTGATATGGGATCGGTTTTTTTCGAGCAAATGCTGTATTAGCCCTTGTCTAATAGGAAATAAATTCAAGCAGTATTATAGCAACACGAAGAACGAGCATTCATCTTGAGTAGAGTACTCTGAGGGATCTTTTCATAGAGAAGTGCAATTAACAGGACGATAAAGTGGACGTCGTAAAGAGTGCAAATATCACTTTCTCGTGCTTCTGTTTTGCCGCAATGGTCGTGTTGACACGGTAGCTCAACAACATCTAATAACGCAAGCCAGTGTATAGGAAGAAAACCTGGTTTATCCCTGCAGGGAGTAGGCATAACTGTGCAGGTGAAGTAGTCTATTGTGTTCCACAAGATGTCATGAACAGTTTCACAGTATATTAAAATAATGCTATCGAACTCCTGTGGTAGAAGATGTCCCAGTCTCGTCGTTGTACTGAGTATCAGGTTTCGTGGAATTTCGCGAACTGTGAAAATTAACCTAAAAAGGCCATTAGCTCTATATTCTGTTCATTAGATCAGTGCAAATCTCACGATTAGTGACCCCCTCAGAGCTTTTTGTCCGTCCTTCAACTCCCAGACCTCTACAGATGCTGAGAACGGACCATACCCAATCACACGCAACAACTTTAGTTTTGACTTCCTTGTACAACCCTGGTGTGGAATTTTGAAGCTCATCTGTCACACATTCGATCTTAGATGTATCGTGGGAGTCCTCGTCTCCATATTATGCGATTAGCCGATTGCGCGTGCTTATAAAGTGCTGCGGAGGATTGTGATCGAAGAAACCTCAGATCCAATATTGGGGAATAATTGGGCTTGGTGTCTGACATGCCAGTGTATTTCCATAAATCTAGATACATGGGCGACTGGTACAACATTGAAGCAGCGTCCACTATAGACAGGTGAGTATTGCCATCGGCTCCAGTTCTTGGACAAACCTCTGGGATAAGTCGTGTCGTTTATGTCATGAGTGTTCAATGACTATGCAAACCCTTGAGTTTACCGACCAAGCTAGTGGGACTTGCATCAAATAGAAAGATAATGTCGATTTCTCGCTGATAGTCTGGAACAATGCCGGCACAGGACTAAAACTCAGCGGCTCCGGAGACATTCTAGAATCCGTAGATATTGTGCAGCATTGTAGAATGGCGTTGCTGTTAGCAAAAGCCTGACATCAACTCGCAGCCATGCATGTAAGCGGCATCCTGATAATGGTTCCCATAATAGTGATATGATAAAGAGAAATCCCACCCACCAGGCCATGACAAAGAGGACTTTGAGGTTGACAAGATGAGCCAGGGGCTTCATCTCGTCAGCTTCAAGGTAATTTATGCCCTATTTAGCATACCGTTGTCATCGCCTCATATGTATCAGTATAATCCTGATCAGGAACCCAGTGCGTCGGCGCTATAGTACATAGCTTAACCACAAGGATGCCTCCGTGCGTTTCAGAAAGTTGATATTTTTGAAGAAGGCCCCGAGGCGATCCAGAACCGCAGAAAACCGATCTGGATCAACGGTCATGCTACTCTTAAAATCTCTTCCCAGCTGCAGCAACAGCTCGTGGTTGTATTCCCTGGTGCGCGGGTTGCTTCGCCACTTGGCAGTCTCCATCAACCGCATAAATGCCGCCAGATTAGCGGGGGAGAACAGACAGGGTATTACGGAGATGAACCAGTGAGCAGGGGCCCAGTTCTCCGCTATCTGGCCTAGCTGTCTCACAATGGGTGACGTTTCGCCAAAGCTCGTATGGCATTCATCGCGGAAGGTGCGGGCCACCGTGATTTGTTGCAACTGGATCCAAACACGACTGGCCTGCTTCTTGGATTTATTCACGACAAAACCCTGCGACAGGGAGACGTGCGTGGCAAACCGGCGTAGGTAGCTCTCGGAGGTCGTGAGTACAATGAGGCGCCCGCAGTCATATTAGTGCTGTGATACTCACGCCGCAGTAGAGTAGTTCTGATGTCCATGAGGCAATGGGCCAAAAAGTCGACTTGCTCAAGGGAGTTATTTCTGTTTTGCATGCAGTGCATATCGAGAAGAAGACATCATCGTCTTAAACAGTGGTTTCTACCTATATCCTGGCTCTTTATATTGTATGCACGAAAAGATCTCTCCATGTGTATAATGATATGGTATGCATGTTCGCGTATCCATATCATTGCTGCTGTTCAATGTATCATTTGATAGTTTTCGTCTTAAAAGATGCAGGTCACCTGTTTGTAGCAACGCCCAATCGCCCTCCGGCTTCTATTTCGAATACTGGCAGAGTATTACTGCTTCGCAGTATTAGTTTGATGACGATTACTGGACCTCTTCTTCCACTCTTGTGTCATCTGCTGTAGAAGTGTCCTCCAGTTCAGCGATACTGAGAGCCTCCATAATTCAGCATCTTACTCAGTTCCATCCTATGGACAAAAGTCTGCTTTAGCCACAATTTTGTGGTATTCGGACCTATTCTCATTCATACCCACAGGCCCTAGGACGAACGAACAGTGCTTTATATGTACTCTTTGTACCAGCAGATTGAGGAGAACCAGCTTTTCTGATGCTTCGGTGTTCTTCTACCTAGGATTACTGCATCATGCCATCTCTGAACCTTCTCTTGAGTCCAAGCGATTAGGGCATTGTTGTATTAATAGATTGACTGGTGGGATGAAAGCCTATATAAGTTCCTGGGTGGGATTGGTTCTCCCTTTAATTAGTGTTAGGGTTCGCGACTGGAGTGTAGATCTAGGATATGATCAAGTTGTGTAGAAGGAAAAAAGATGAGGCCTGCAGAATCTGACTTTATATAGTAGAGCATCCGAACATGATCTATTCAATACCTGCAGTTACTGCCAGCTACTCTATTCACGATGATCATGTCGGACGTGAAGCTATACTTCAGTTGAGGGATACCAGTCAGACTTCACCAATCCTAATCAATGTCTAATCATTCACTTCATCTATGATAACTTTTTGTGTATCAGACCGGATATTGTTAACCATAACGATATCAGAATAGCCATGAAAACGCCAGAAACCCCTATGTGCAGTCGTGATTAAGAAAGTCCCGTGGAACTTAATGGTCATCGTCCATGTTCAACTCGTCAAAGTCATCAAGCAGCTCATCCATGTTGATCTTGGGCACCTCCTCGTCCTCGCTATCCTCGTCCATATCCATGCCACCCTGCTCCACAGGGGCACTTCTCCGTGCCTTGTACAGATCAAGAGTGCCACGCAGCTCCTGATCTTCTTCGACATCGCGCAAGAACATCTCAAAGTCCTCCTCAAGGCGGTTACGCTCGGCTTCCTGCTTACGGTTGAGGTTGCCAGCCGCTTGCTGCGCCGCCTCCTCCTCGTACTCAAGAGCCATGCGCTTAAGACGCCAGTTGCGGTTCTTGTTCTTCTTCTTGCGGGCGTAGAATTTCTTCACGAGCACAACATCGGGAATAGCGGAGCTGTACTGGCCACTAGCCTCGATCGCCTCAAAGTTAGGGTCGTTGAAGTTGGTACCAGTCAGGTGGTAACCAAGGACAGAGTCACCGACGTGAAGGACTCCACCCAGGTGAGTGCGGGTGAAATAGGTTTGATCGTTCGAGCCAAGGTCCGAAGCACGGGCAACGGTTGCCTCGGCCAGGTAGTACCGTCCGTTCGACCGTCCAACCAGTTCAATGTCCATAATGATAAACTCGGTCAGCTCCGTCACATCGGCAAGACTCCTGAAGGGCGATCTCCAGTAGGTGTTTGTCGGGACATCGGCGGTCTGGAGCGTGTTAGGGTCGAGAAGGTTGACAGAGGTACCGACGCGGTAGCAGAGGGCCAGGGGCGAGATGTTGCCCAGCGATCTGGCAAGCTTGATGGGCAGCGCAACCAAATCATCCTTGCAGATAGGGATCAACTCGATCGAGAAGGTGAACTTGTAGGACTTCGTGGAGGTGTGGATATCCATGGAGATCAGCTCTTGCGACTTCTTGACCTTGGTGGGGACGACGGAGGAAAGGAACTCGACCATCTTCTCCGCATGGTTCCTCTGCGCAAAGTAGAAATCCAAACCATCCTTGGCCTCCTTGATGTTGATTGTATCGCGGTGAGCGTTGTGCTTGAGGATGATCTGCTCGAGGTACAAGAAGGTTCGCTTGTGAGGCACCTTCTGGCGCAGCTGGATGCTGGAGTTCCAAGTGTTGACAGTGAACGACTTCTTGCAGTCAGGGCATTGTAGCGAGGCGACAACGTATTCAACCTCGAATGTCTGCTGCACAATGGTGCCCTGGAATGCCTCCTGCTGGATGGTGATCTTGACCTTGATACGTTTCGAGTGGGGCTCGGTCCAAATAAAGCTGGCATCGATAATGCGGACCTTGGACAAGCCGCGGAGCTTGCGCAAGCAGTGTGCGAGAAGTTCCTTCGATTCGAGCGCAGCACTAACCCAGCTGGTGGGGGGCTGGAGCCACCGCTCGCAGTCCTTGCAGCAGTGAAGAACTGCCTCTCTCTGGATGCCTTGGGAGATATCAACCGTCAACTTCACACAGTCCTGACAAAGGGCACCAGCGGATGTTGTTCCATCGATAGGCGCGCCACAGTTGCAACAAAGGATACTAGAAAGCGATGTTGTTAGTTAAGGTCCCCGATCAATATTGCCCTCATGTATGTTTACAGGGAAATTTTTCTTTCGATTTGCGGGGTAACTCACGTCGCAGCGATCTGTTCCTGCGGGGCCTCGAAAGGCACCGGCGCATCCAGGTCCATCGACATGTTGGAAGCAGGGATGAGGCCTGACACCAGATAAAAAAGAGGGTAAAGATAGGGAAGATAGAAGAGCCGGCGACTCCTGCTCGCTGAATGATGAAGCGAAATTTAGATTTGTCATGAGGATCAATATTTGCCCCGCCGCGAGAACTTTTTGTTTGCTCTGTTTGCTTGCTGACTCTATCCTTAGTCATAGTTTGTCTTGTTTGTCTCTCAGCAGCTTCCCCAATTGCGCTGCTGGTCGCCACTGCGAAGAAAGCTGTCGAGCTCTCGTTTGGTACCATTACTGCTGCAATATTGACCATCATGAATAGGGCATTGTTGAGAGCTGCCTGGTCCTCCAGGACAGCACTTCGCGCGCCTCATTCCGTCTCTCGTGCCGCGTTATACCGTTCGACCATTCACCCAGTAACTCGAGCTTTTGCTTCAGTATCTTGCCTCCGTTCTGAGCAGCCTTCATCCTCGTCCTCTGCAGTGCCACCGGCATCTGAATTGAAAGAAGAACCGACAGCGAACTCCGCGTCGGAGAGCACCCCTCACATCCCATGGTATCTACAGGAAGAAGCACCTGTGCCCGAATCAAGGCAGACAACTTCGCGAGATCAGATTCCCGAATTGCCAGAGAACCCTCCAGCTATCCTCCCTGCACTCCTCGACTACGTGTTCAAGGATGTTGGTCTTGATGAACTGAGGTTGATTGATTTGCGCGGATTGGAAACTCCGCCAGCTCTTGGTGCCAACGTGATTATGATAATTGGAACTGCTCGCAGTGTCAAGCACTTGAATGTGTCCGCAGATCGTCTTTGCCGCTGGTTGAGAAGTACCTACAAGCTGTCTCCCTACGCTGATGGACTCCTGGGTCGAAATGAGTTGAAGATCAAGCTCCGGAGAAAAGCTCGGCGTGCTAGGCTCGCCAGCAGGTCCGGTACTATGTTTGACGAAAAGGACGATGGGATCACGACAGGCTGGATCTGTGTCAATGCCGGTGTGGTAGAGGAAACGCCAGTCAAGAAGGATGAGAATTATAGATTTGAAGGGTTTGGCCACACTGCCACCGGCACTAGGGTTGTTGTGCAGATGTTCACAGAAGAAAAGAGAGCCGAAGTCGATCTTGAAAGCCTTTGGCAGAAGGCGCTGGACCGATCCGAAAGAGAGAAACAAAGGATTTCCCAGGTTAATTCAGCCGCACCTTCCGAAGAGGTTCGTGCTTCCAATTCGATAAACGTATCACCATCTGACCGTGAGTTCGGCCATGCCTCCAGGTTTCCCACTAGCCCTTTGTTCGGACAGAAGAGGCTGCTTCACACCAACCGTCGCCCCGCAAGCCAACACTTCGACCGTGCAGGAATCCATGCAGAAGATACGGAAGTAACTCTGGATTCCCAGCCTTCGTCTTTACTTCGAGACCATGACCATAGCGACAATGGAAAGACAACCCGCTCAATGGATGCACTATTTGACCACCTCTCAAAACTATCCGACGTTCAGGCCAGGATCGAACTAGGAGAGGGCCCGGAAGATAATGACTCTACACTATTCATGCGCCTATTCCATGATCTGCTATCAATCAGCACGGCGGCAGAGAGAGCAATAGCCCGTCTTGTCCTATTCTGCAACGCGATTTCCAGACAGCACCCGGGATATACAAAGCGGGGTTTATATTCAGCGTTCACAGAATGTACATGCGCTGGTTGTTCAGTATCTGATGATCTAGCATTTTCAGTTGTTTCAGCCTTGTTATCTCCCCGACTAGCAGGGACTAGCCCTGAGGACGTTGCAGGGCAAGTTCCGGAAGCGGACCAGGAATTAGCTCTTCTTGTGCTTGAACATCTATCTCTGCGCGGCACCAATGTCGTCAACATGAGAGTGTTCGACATGATTTATCGAGCCGTTGCCAGTTCCCCGTCCACCACTGTACCAGACGGAGCAAATAATGCACAGGCTGAAAATAAAAGCGCTCTTTATCGGGTGTCTCGCCTAATCGACACCCTTGACCTACCCTTTGAACCCGAGCAAGCCCGCAGCCTTATGCTATCGCTCTTTCAGCACGGCGACTACAATGGCTTTTGGAAGTTGTGGCGCAAGGGTCCCATCAATGGAAGTCTGCGCACCGCTGCTGACTACAAGATGTTGTTCCGGTTGCATGCTGATCTGGGAGATGAACTCCGTGCCCGGGACTGCGTATCAACATGGATTCCGATGATGAGGAGAGAAGAAAATCCGATACCCCTCGAGGGAGAGCTCTTGGTAGATATCAAGCGCTGCCTTTTGCTTGCCGATCCAGATATTGTGCAAAAGGCCGCGGAAGGATCGACGAGCAATCTGGTCCGATTCTGGAACGCATGCCAGATGAAGATGCTAAAGTGATGCCCCATGAAGTCATTGTAAATAGTAAACACTGTACTAGTAAATAACACAATCCCAATTCCCTCCTGTTATGCAGTAAAGTAGCACTAGCTGAATGTGAATGTGACGGTGGATCCGGACCTGGCTGACGGGTGCCGATAAGCCTCGGCTCAACTCGCCGCCATCGGATTGACGTCCACCGCAGCAGCAGCAGCACCTCCGCATTCTCTCCATCCTCCACCCAATCCCCCCATCCCAACTGCTTCTTCCACCTAGGGGCCAATGACTGGCCTTCTGCTGCCATCATGGAATACCTTCCCAGTCTGCAGCAAGAATTCGATGAGCTGAAGCCATCGCTGTTCGGTACGTGCCTTATCGCACACCCCAAACCATCTCAACAAACACTCGACTAACCCGCATCCCATCGCAGAGCTACTCGCCGAACAACAGCTCTCCGACCTTCTCCCCCCTTCAATCCGATACATCCTCGCCGTCGCGACCCATCGCCATCCACGATATCTCCTCCGAATTCTCAACTCCTACGACGAGATCTACGCGCTCCTCTCCCTCGTCGTCGAACGCTACTACCTACGCACCTTCGGCGGCTCCTTCACAGAGAACTTCTACTCGCTCAAACGCGAACGAGTCCTCCTCACCAAGAATGGCGAGATCCCTCGCGCTCAACTCGGCGCCCCAGGCCCCGTCCGCGAAGCCCTCAAGCTCCGCACCTCCGATGTCTGGAAGAACCTCCTCGTCCTCGTCGGAATCCCCTACCTAAAGCGCAAGCTCGACGAAGGCTACGACATCCACGCCGCACCACAAGCATCCCTGATCATGAGCGGCGGCCCCAGATACAACCCAGGCGACGACCTCCCTCCAAACCCAACAATCCGCCAACGTCTCCTCCACTACTACAAGTGGTTCCTCCGCAACATCTACCCCTCCGTCAACGCCGCTTACTACTTCTCCATCCTCGCCTTCAACCTCGCCTACCTCTTCGACAACACCAAATACTCCTCCCCTTTCCTCTGGCTCATCGGCACCCGCATCCGCCGTCTCAGCTCCGCAGACCACCGCGCCATCGCCTCCATCCTCGACCCTAAACCCACTCCCGGATCTGGTCCCGGCGGCGCAGGCGCCCGCACCCGCCCCGGCTCCGGCCTCCTGGGCCTCCTCAGCCCGCAGAACCTCTACCCCCAACTCCTCACCTCCCTCCGCTACTTCCTCCCGGTGTCGATCTTCGCCCTCAAGTTCCTCGAATGGTGGCACGCAAGTGACTTCTCGCGCCAGCTCGCTCGCAAAGCAACCGAGGTCCTGGACCTCCCTGCCCCCGTCGCAGCAGGAATGACGCCTCCCTCGGAGAAGCGTAAAGCAGCCGCCGCTGCCGCAGAGAAACAACAACAGCAACAGCAGCAGCAACCATCATCCCCTACCCTCAAATCAGCACTCAAATCAACCCCGCCAGCACGCACACGCATCCAACCCCCCATCTCAGCAACTTCCTATCTACCCATCTTCACCGTGCCACTTCCCCCACCAGACTCGGATGTCGCGTCCGCGTGCCCAATCTGTTTGAATGCGCTTACGAATCCCACGGCGTGTCAGACGGGGTATGTTTACTGCTACGTGTGTATCTTCCATTGGTTGAATGGGGAGCATCAGCGACAGTTGGATTTCATAAATGGGGAGGGTGCGGGCGCGGCGTGGGCGGATGATGATTTGGAGGGGGGTGAGGAGGAGCATAAGGGTGGGGATGATGGTGATGAGGAGGAGATGAAGAAGTCGAGGAGTAGACGTGGGAAGTGGGAGAGTGGGAAGGGGAGGTGTCCGGTTACGGGGAGGAGAGTGCTTGGGGGGACGGAGGGGTTGAGGAGGGTGTTGGTGTAGATAATACGTAGTATTCTAGAGGGGTATGTTGTATGATTCGTTCGTGGAATTTGTATGGAGCGTATACTATAAAAATACTAGTATAGTACTTAGTCTGCATTGTGTGGAATGAAGGTTACTAAGTTCAACATGTTCATAGTATACACTTCAATTTTGATACTGTTATTTGATAGCCCATAGATGAACAGGCCGGGTATATTATAGCACACTGCACTATGCACACGCTATGCTAATCAAAGTGATGGAGTAGCAAGCATCTAATAAATGACATACGGCTCCGCTCCATCTCCGAATAGAACCTCTGGTTGTTCAGCCGCGACTTTGAGTATAGTTTGGGAAAAGACAGAGTTCGCCCACGCGAACCACGGTCTCGTGTATGATTTGATGTTGTTGACATCGATGGACTCGTGGACTAAGCCGAGAAGACTGGAGTTGCGGACTAGGTTTAGAGAATCGGTGATCTCCGTGACGTTGTCGGTAGTCAATGCCTGCACGAGCAGGGACATAGGCCAGGCGTTTTCGAGACCAACTAATACGTCCGTGTTAGCTGTCTTGATTTCAAGGTTCTAGGGTTCGGGCATTGCTTACTGTGAGGTCCACCGATGCCGTGAAAGTCCGATCCAGTGAGGTAGTATGGATTACCATTAGGGTCGAGGATCATCTTGCGGGTGTTTTGGTAGACTTGATCGCCCTTATCGACGAAGCCTAAGTAGGGTAGGGCTAGGAGGGATGGAATGTTCGCGTCGTCCATGAAGATGCGCGAGCCGTATCCGTCTACTTCGAAAGCGTAGACATCGCCGTACGTTGGGTGGTTGAAAATGCCGTGTTGGCGGACGGCTTGCTCGAGGTTCTCTCCGCGGGTTTGGAGATTGGATGCGAGGGTCGAGTCGCCGCCAGCTGCGCGGATCAGATCCGCGGTCTTCTTCAATTGCACGGACATCATGGCATTGGCTGGGATGAAGTAGCCCAGGATAGTGGCGTCATCGCTGGGACGGAATGCGCTGCGGATGAGTCCGGTGCCTCCGCTGAGCGGGTTCCCGATCCCGGCCAGATTGAGGGTTTCCGTGCCGAGGGTTGTCTGGCGCTGGAAGGTGTACTGGTTCTGGACATACTGATGGTTACTGTTGAAGGTTGGCTGGGATTGGGCGTCGGTGGTGTTTAGGAGTGTGTCCAGGGCGAGATACCACCGGCTGGTGAGGAATTCGGTGGATCCGGTGTTTTCGTAGAACTCGTTTCCCAGAGCGAGAAAGTTGGCCAAGGAGTCGAGCTCGTATTTACATTCGTAGACAACAGAGGGCTCATACGCTGGATGGACGGTGTCTTGCTGGCCGTTGCTTGTTGCTTGAATCCCACTGGGTGGAGGAGGCTGGAACGCGTTGCAGTAGGGCGATTGAATGACGAACTCAGCCTGCGTGTGTATGGCCCCGAGGATGAGACTGTAGAGAGCCGGGTCCTTCTTTGCCAGTGTTTGATAGCCTGTCAATTGATTTGTCGAGTCGCGCAGCCACTCTGCGTTGATGTCTCCAGTCACGACAAAAGTCTGAGCTCCTTGCCATTGCGAACTGTCTCGTCTCATCTTCCGAGAGGAGGAAGTACTAGTGGACGTGCTATTGACATGCCAGCGAATGGTTGTATCCAGTGTGTTGGGGAAGGCATTGCGAAACAGCTGAGCCATGTCTTTGTCTACCATGCGCGAGGTCACATCGTCGATGACCTGCTCTACTGCGTTTGAGACAAAGGTCCGACATTCTGCTGCGGGTCTTTGGTAGGGCAGATTCAGAGGACCACCGCTGTATGGGGCACTGAGTTGAAGAAGAGTATGAGCGGGCTGTCACAGACGTTGTTTCAAGTGGATAATCCCTTACTGTCCAGTAGAAGCATAAGAGGTGTAGTCTGGACAAGCCCGACGTAGAATGGAAGGCTCATCGCGAGCTGCAGCTCCCCTTGCACCCAAGCCGGCGGCGAGGGTGACGGCCAGCGACAACGAGCGCATCTTGACGACTGGATAGCGGTTGTCGCTGATGGTGAGTCTGTATTATGAGGCCGGAAGGTTGAACCAATGTGCCATTGACCATTGAAAAAGAATCAGGGGGAACAATAGCATGTTTTAAAGTGGGCGGGTTGGGGGATGACAGGGGAAGGCAGGGGAATGCGGGGAAGAAGATCGCAAACAGCCGATTTCCTCGCTGATCCCCCGGATTCCCTGCTGTATTTCCCACCCATCATACCAACTCACTCTTGCCCTGCAGGATGCCTTTGAACCCTCCGGAATGCACATACTTCATGGCAGTTAATCAACTCACTGCAGGTCAGATTTGCATCCATTGCTCTCTGCGTTATACATCTACTAGTCTTGTCATGTCTAGTAATAGTTCTCCGCTCGATCAAGTGCCTTGATCAGCCGATGGCTCAAGAGTCTTTCCGATAGTCGCCTGACACCATTTATATTAAATGTTGGCATTAGCTTGTCGATCACATCCCAGGACGGTATTCGCTTAAGCATAACTTGAACGCTATCCTACTGCGCTTCGAAGCATTGACTTTAGTCCAGAATTGGTACAATAGAGTAAATGATGGATTGGATAATGGCTATCATCTTTGCCTATCAGAGCCAGCCGCATTCATGACAATCAAAACTATGAAAAAGATTGTCCATTTCGAATGGGAGCACACTCAAGAACGCTGCAAATACGTCACAAATATTTGTATAGTCAAAGCTCTACCTAATAGTACATGAATTGGGCGTATTACGTGGGTTGAAATGCTCGGCGTGTCAAACAAAAACAATGAAGCTATATAGCATAGATGCAGCGCTGTATGCTTGAACCGTGTAGGCATTGGGATAAGGAGAAATGGCAGACCAGATATTGATGACATGTAATAAACAGTCCACGGCATCGTACCAAAGAAGGGTATACTGGGTGTGAGCCTAGTCTGGGTTGACGCGGAGATGCCAGGGCTGGACCATTCATTGCGCTGCTTAATTTCAATGACTTCCTGGGTAACTGAAGTGCACTTGTCAACCAGCGTATATCGGTCACAACCCCTGGACATGGTATATGAGCACCAGAAGCAGAGAACAGCCTCGGAAATGACGCGGTTTCGAAAACATCCGGTTATCCACGAGCTGTTCACTTCTTCGAGAAGAAGGACATGATGCTACCCTGTCCCGGTTTCGCTGCTGGTTTGCCCTTTGGCGCACTCACAGCGGGCTTCTTCTTGGGAGGTGGAGCTGGCTCGTCCTCTGAGAATGACTCCCAGCTTGGTTCCTCAACAGTCACTACGCAAGGAATAAGTCAGTGATGGCCTTACTCAAGTAACATTTGATAATCTCACCAAGATAGCCCTCATCGTCCTTGACTGTCTTCTTCTTCATGACTTGGCGTCTGCCCCTGCGACGACCGCCCTTCACCGTAACTTCTTCCTTGAGTTCAGCCTGTTTCGGCGGCGGCTCGTCGATAGGTTTAGACTCTTCCGGTGACGGTGCAGCATCGGGCATTTCTTCGTCTTCGTCTTCGTCTGATACCAGTCAGAAGAGTTACCGACAATAAGGACGCAACGTACCATCATCTTCCATCATCTTTCTGAGCCTCTCTTCACGCTCTTTCCGCGACTCACGTGTACCGGCGGATGCGGACTTCCCTGAGTCTCGGAAGAGCTCCTCGGGCTCCTCATCCCCATCTGATGCGTCGTCTAGAACCACTGCTACTCATTAGTATCATGTAAAACGTCGCCAAGATGAACTTTGAGCACCCACCATCTTCAGCAGCACTGGGTTCGGCCTATATGATTGTCAGTCACTCAATACAAAGAATTCGGGTAAGGTGGTGGAACTGACCGATTCGGCAGCCGAAGTAGCCGGCGTCGCTGATTCTTCCTTTTTCTGCTTCGGCTTGGCCTTTGCAAAAGAGCTAAAAATACTGCCCTTTTGCTTTGGAGGAGCTGTCTTCTCAGTTGGCTTAGACGCTGGAGGTTCCTCGCGTTTGGCCGTTGTCTCCATCTTCGGGGCCTTGTCTTCAGGTTCTTTCTTGGGTTGTGGTGTTTCTTCTTCTTTAACAGGACGCTTAGCTGGAATAGTCGCCTTAGGAGGAGCTGGAGCCTGAGCGGGAGCTGGTACGGGAGGGCGACCGCCGGTTCTTCTCTGTAGTACAATCTCATTAGTATCATAGGAATACGGAAATGCAAGCGCACTTCTTACCCGGACATTGTTGCCCTGGATCATGCCCCAGGTCTTGCCGTATTCTAAGGGATCCTCCTGAGCATGCTTGGCGATCATCTCTCCCGCAACATCTGTCAAGACGTTGAGATCCTGAAGCACTGTTGGCTGAAGGCTGTAGACGTATATCGAGGAGATTGATTGGAAAGTCGCCTTGGCATCTGCGCACTCAATTATCAGACCCCACCCTTTGCGCAACGCAATGGAAGCAATTCCACGTACCCTCCAAGTCTTCCTCTCGTACAAGCACAACCGAGGACATGGCGATCTCATCCCTAGCGACATCCTGGTTTGGCATCGAACTGCTTATGTACGGGCTGCTCTGGGGAATGCCATCGAAGCTATCCTGAACGCCATTCGTTGTGGAAGGGGTCTCGGGCGCTTTCTGGATTCCCGTGATAATGTAAGTCGCATTGACGCTGTTTGGCTTCTTGTTGTTTTCGTTGCGGTGGAAATCAAAGAGCATCCTTTCCGACAACAATCAGAATAATTCATATGCATAACTTCGTGTTATTCGTATAAGACATACTGCTTGGCCAGGGTACTATGAACCCGAAGGGCTCGACCTAAGGACCGGTAGGTGACCTGTAGTATGCGCCGAAGCTGTTAGTAGATATCCAGCTTGCAGCACATTAGACCTCACTCACCGTGCGTCGCTCATTGAGAACATTCTCAGCGAGATACCTCTTATAATCAGCAACAGCCATGGTGGCAACAGGCCTCTTTTCGTGCGTGAAAAACGGCGTCGTTCAAAGCAACATGCGATGCGGAGTAGAACATTGAC